TGGTAGCTTAATTAATAAACATGAATACACATAGCAATAAGTATTATGATGGGTTTGGTGGATATTGTTAAAGGTGGTTTAGATACGTGATAAATTTAAATAGCATAGAGGTGATATAGTCCAATGCATGTATAATCTAGATGAACATGTATATTTATGAAAAATATAACAATAAAAAATTTGGTGGAAAAAGATTTAAAAGTTATAGGACTACAGTTAGGAATATGACGGGTTATAATGTAGATGTCGCTCTAGTTAGCCTAGTAACTTCATGATTATATAGCAACGTTGATCATAACTAGGAAGTCTTAAATTAATATTCAATCTGATATGGTCCCCCTGAGAACAACACACTTTCTCATAGCAGTACGTTTTCCCTTGAGGTTAAATATATCTTACGCCAAGAACGGTTCTGGGAGGGTAAATAAATAATATATTTGTAATATCCCAACGAGTAGAAAATTATCTGACGTTTCATGATTTAGTGTAAGTCACTTCTTCAGAGAATAAATAACCAAATTAAAATTAATCCAAGTTTAAATTATACAACGGAACAATAAGAATAATATCCGATCAATCAAAAACAGGTCTGAACAAGTTAATGTCATGTCATTTCTGTCAAGGTGATTCATAAGTGATATGCATGTAAATTTGTGTATATGTATGTGTGCATTGTTTAAGAATAAAAAAATTGTGTGACCTCTATGGTGAGAAAGGGCAGAGACTAATTTGTAATATGGTAGTTTGAATTGTAAATATGATCAGACTGAATGGCTAGGATAGAGTGGTTCATATGAAAATATATTCATGTATCAAAATCGTGGTAGATTATCCTGCAAATTAATGAAACCCACCTGCATTTCCCTCGGAATTTAGATCATCATATGGTTTTGACGTATAAAAAGCCGAATCGTGACATATCATAGATCGAAAAGGAATCAGATCGAACGCGCAGTATTGCAACTAGTTCCTGGATGTGTGTGGTGATATTGACTTTGTTGCTTGGTTGATTCATTATAAATCCACGAGTCTAGATAAATACGTAACCATCATTGTATGAACGCTCTGAAATGAGCTTCGGATTTCAGAAACTTTGCAACTTAGATTTGTAGTGACATCGGACCATAATCTCACAATCCTCAAATGTGAACACGAAACTAATCGGAAAATAAATATTCAATATTTAACACGGAGAAATACCTAACAATGGGAAAGGCGGGAACAATGAGTTGAATGAACTGGAGTTGATCGTATGACATGGCTTGGCCATGCAGGCGTGGTCTCTGCTGAATGTTACCTTATATCTTCTATTCATATTAAATATATTGTTCTATCTCTAGCCTACGTTTGTTCTCTATCATGTATTGGTAAATGTGACGATATAATGAGTTGGCGTGAACGATGATGTGACCTTCACGAAAGTACTTACAGATTAGGCAGTTATATCATGACAAATCTTCAAATTTAGGATTAGGTCTATTATTAGAGCAGTACTAATATCATAGTAGACCATAATTCTACAGATTCACTGCAAGTTTTCGGAATATCGTCTTCATTGTTTGGCAATGGAACTGGCAAATTGGAATTATACAGTCAGTGGTCGAGAGAAAAGATAATCCATAGTTTAGAATAAAACACAATACCAAGTGAGAAAAAATGGAGAATTTGATTCACATAACTATCCAGTCTTTGCTTAAATCGATAGCCAATGTGTATCCACATCGTTTACGAGACATATTTGTGAGTGAGTGATGTCTTAACAAACCTATTTCACTGAAGCATGTAAATGCTACTAAAGCTTGTTATTGAATCATCATAGCTAAACATAAATATAGATAATCAGTTATTGGAAACGAATGAGCCAGTAAGCTGAGTACTAATTAACAATACAATAATATGATTCACATGAGCACTCATCAACCTACAAATATAATAATGGGTAAGCATAAGTTGAAATCAGTCTATAAAGTCAAAGTGAATATGAGAGTGAATGACAAGCTGCATATCTCTAGTCGATCTCACCAATGTTGAATTATGGCCTACTTCAATATTCTGAGCCATGGCTGGGTAAATATCAAGAAACTGAATTTCCTGTGTTCAGGAACGTCAGCGGGATGCAAAAATGTCCGCCCTGCAGTCCTGAAAAAGTGCACGGAAGACATTAGTTTGTAACAGATTAGATTGATTGGTTAAGAGTTGACGTCAAACAATTAAGTATATGTCGAAACAATAGATCTCAAAGGTTCAATCACTTCCTTATTTCGCATAGGCATTATACTTACTACTATTCTATATTGAATGTTGCAAAGCTTTGTGTGTTTGAACAGGTAATCCAACGCTCCACTGTGATAGATAGAGGATCTAAATAAAGACCTTTTCACTACTATTCTGGTTTCTTCTATCAAAAGAACGAAGGTTGCCATTTGACCTTGTACGACTGTATCTCTTTATTAACCAATCACAGTTTGATGTTCATTGTAAAACAATATTTGCTTGTTGACTCATTTTTCGTATTCTCTGGCTACTGTTCGGTATGTTATTTGTCTCTGTTTTTCCCTGTATTAATAGACCGTACTGTTTTTTGTACACTAACGATGTTAATTTATGTTTTAGAAACAGATAAAGTTTATCTAGCCAAATAGCTTGCTTGTTCTGACATTGGCCAAACCAAGACTTTGTATTCGACGGTCTGGGGAATAGTTCAGAATCAAACCTGCAGGAAATTGCTCCCTACAATGATCAAATCAACTGCTGAAAGAACGGAAACAGTTTGCTCTCTCTTCAATCTTCGAAGAGGGGGATAAAAATGATGCGAACCTCCATTAACCAGTCGCATTACTCCTAATACCGTATATGAGTTCAGCGAAATGTCATCGAGCCCTAGATAAATCATCCGGCAATTGGATCACAATGTTGAATAGTTCATCGATCGCCGTTAGGCTCGAGGACAACCAATGCGACTCTAGGTGATGACAGCGAGGTGTGATTTCAAAGTTAGCTCATTCGTTACACCATTCCTGTCTAACTCGAGTAGGCCCCCAATGATTCGACAGAGATTATCCACGTTAGTAATCTACACATCGAAAGCAACTTAAGGACTGCTAGTGAACAAACGAGGGAACGCAAAGACAAAATTTATATCCTCCATGAGACCCAACACTGGTCTAAAAAAAGGCAGGTCCTGCGTATTCACAGCATGAAACTGTCTGACGACCTGCTGATACTAAAATTATTCTCCGACATCCCAAAGGCCTTCGACACACCATCAAGCTTGCTCCTCACATCAAGGGTTCAAAACATGGGTTTCAGTGATACGTATATCTTGACTTCTATGCTACTCATGGAACATGATGTTTCGTTCCATGGTATATAGAATGTACTGGTGCTCGTGAGTCTCAACATAAGTAGTCTCACAGTAGCGAATCCAATGTGAACTCCTGTTTCTTACCCTTATCAGTGACATTTTAGGTAAAATTAAATCACCTCACATGTCTATGCAGGTCTGAAGGTTCATATGAATCGAAAAAGATTGAATTGAGCCTCAAGTGAACCTTACAACAATAAAGGGATGGAAAGTAGACAATGGGTTAAAACCCAACCTGTCGATATGTCATGTCACGAACATTCTGCCCCACTTGACACAAAAAGTTTCCTCCTTGGAAATCCGCTCACGAATTTTCTCTGAGAAGTCAGTCTCGGACTAGCAACCTTAGAAAGCTTCAATACGAGTTTAAAATACACAGCGGTCGCAGTTAAGACAAATGAAATTCTTCATTTTATTCAAAGATAACTTGTCAAAGTCACCCCAGAATTATTGGTCAGTCATTTTAAAGCATACGCGCAGACTCACCTTAAAGTTTTCAATGTTAAGAAGTCACGCTTCTTTAAGATATGCGAATCTCGTAGGTCAAATACAAAGACGAGCAACTAAGTAGGTGACAGGGCCATGGCAAAAACCTACATAGACATATTCAAACGATTGGGATTACCCTCGTTGAGCAATAGTGGAATAATATGAGGATCGATTATGACATTAATATATTAAGTATGCCAGGTCACACAAACACGTGCATCCTTCCAGAACGTCACAACCACGTTACTCGAGATTACTCCTAAAAATTTTATATCCGAGAGCAACAACCCAGGTTGGCTCCTATACGTTCTTATCAAGAGTTGCCACCATCCGAAATACTTTCCCAGCTGAAGTGAACACAACCACCTCAGTAAACGGTCTCGAAAGAAGACTTCATAAACAAGTGCTCACTGACAGAATACCATCTCCCGCTTGAAACGATTGCCCCCTGTAGCGGTAAATAAATCCCCAATATAAATAGCTCTATAAGTTTTCGACATTGGATGCTGACCACATTAGTTTTAATGGACTCACCTAGCTGAAGGCGCTCGGTCATGCATCCGCACCGAATCACGAGTGGGAACGCCGTGCTCAACAACCCCTGCGATCGCTAGCCAGAATAAATAAGACAATCCTCGATATATTGGTGACCTATCAAATATATCTTCGAACCTCCTCACTTCTGTCTTTTGATTTTACTTGGTGTGTACGATTCATATTAGGTGTTACTAGTTAAAGCTTTGTCCAACTCCAAATACCTGTGGCATCTTCACCCCGATCTGTCTCTTAATTTGTTTTCTGTTATCATTACGACAAACAATCAACTTGTTTCTTTTGTTGTCTCAGTTTCCCACTTACTCTTAAGTTTCTGTCTTCTCACGGTGTCTGTATTATCGATTAACTAATTTAATATTTCTTAAAATACTCATCTCTTAACACTTCAACCTCCATATTATTCCCCAAATTGCAATCAATCAACCTCCTACCTAATAATGTTGTAGCTGCTGGCTCCAGAAACCCTTCTATTAAAAAAATGCACTGACTCACATTACGTAGTGTGTAAATCAACAAACAACTGCCAAACAGACTAGAATTAGTGCAGTCGAGTAGCTAGACTGTCACACATTAGACATTACCAGCTATCTAGGACCTTGACAAAACAAGCTTGTGATTGAGACACTTGATATTGATCATTCGATTGTAGTGGTCCAAAAAAACATTGCGGAAAAGTTAAGTGTCACGTTACGGCATATGGAAGCGTTAAAGTTGTCGGAGTCGGAAATCAACTTCTACTTCAGTGCTTTTGATAGCTGTGATGTCGAAAAAAGTGGGAAGCTATCAACGGAGTGTGTGAAGAAGTTTTTGTCCCGCTTTGCTATTCCAGATGTCTTGATAAATGATGTAATTATCTCGTAATAATTTTGAGATTGTAGATTGTACAATTATCAAATCCATCTCCCTATGGCTTGTGGGGGCGGGTAAATTTCTTCACGGCACTAAAGTACGTGTCTCTCGCTCAGAGTGGAATTCCGGTGTCTAGAAATGAGCTAATCAGAAACAGTATTTTAAATTTATCAATTGCTCATGCTTATAGGAGAAAGTCTCCCCCTCCCATCATACCGTGATATCTGTGTGCCGTTAATGGAAAATGATATGTCTACAGGGGAGCATTCTTCACACAGTCCTGTAAGTTGTGGCTTTGTTATGTTGTCTTATGTATAATACAGGCCTCCGCTGGGGATTATCCTAACTTAGAAAAGCAATCTTATGGACGTATTTGTCACAAAATTAGGTTTAAAGAGAATCAGGTAGATGCAAATAACAGCATTTCGGGAGACGGTACAGGAGAGCCATGTTTTCCTTCATGGCCAAAGTGTTACGACGAAGAGCAAAGTATGTTTCTTGAATTTTCATAAACCTTAAAATTTCTGTACCTCTGCCGTGGTTTAAATTAAACCAACACCTATTATGTCGTGGTGTGACGAACCATTACAGTCACTTAAATGTTAGCCTGGAGTTAGTGAAAATCCTTCACTGTGATAACCAATATGTGACTTGACCAAGGTGTTTTACCTATGGACTGGAAGGACGCAATCGTCACTCCCATACATAAAACAGGTCCACGACAAGTTCCATCGAATTACAGACCCGTAAGTCTCACCAGTGTTATAACTAAAATACTGGAAAGAATAATCAAACGGACCATAACGGCATTTATAGAAACCAATAACTCGCTGAACATGGCACAACATGGTTTTAGAAACAGTCTATCCTGTACAACAAACCTCCTTATAGCTAGGGAGTTCTGAATTAATGCGCTAGACAACGGAAACTCAGTGGATGTTGTCTACATAGATTTCAGTAAGGCTTTTGACAAGGTGCCATTTAATAGACTGCTATTAAAGTTGGAAAACCTTGGTATTGCCGGACGTCTTTTAAAATGGATTAAAGATTTCCTAGTAGGTCGTAGGCAAAAAGTAAGAATAAATTCCAAGTGCTCCATCTGAAGACCAGTACTTAGTGGAGTACCTCAAGGTTCCGTCCTAGGTCCTTTACTTTTTATAATGTACGTTAATGATCTTACAAGTATAGTACAGTCTCCAATGTTATTATACGCTGACGATGTAAAAATTTGGGGAGTAGTAACTGGAGACAAAGACGCATTTGCTCTTCAGGCAGACTTAAATAATATGATAAACTGGTCTAAAGAGTGGCTGATGCCTATCAACTCGGAAAAGTGTGTCTATATGCACTTGGGGGATTCAAAGGTTAATACGTACAACATAGGGGATGTGTCATTACCATTAGTCGGGTCTCATAAGGATCTAGGGGTGATAGTGAGTAATGATCTTAAGACGACGGCCCATTGCCGGGAGGTCTCAGTCAACGGGTTTCGAACCCTCTGGGCTTTGCAAAGGACATTCACTAAGTTAGATACTACTATGTTCACCACAGTATACACATCCTTAGTGAGAGCTAAGCTAGAGAACTGCGTTCAGGCTGCAAGCCCCTGCTTAAAAGGTGACTCGGACATACTAGAAAAAGTACAGAGGGCAGCTACCCGTGCAATTCCGGAACTCCGGGGTTTATCATACAAAGAGCGGCTTGAAAAACTGGACCTCTTTACTCTGTCCTATCGCAGACTAAGGGGAGATCTAATTTTGATGTACAGAATACTGAGAAATGATTTCGGACCTAACTTATTCTCTCTCTTTCTTACAACTAGATCGGGACACCTCAGAGGACATAGCAGGCGAGTAGAAAAGCCAAGAACGAACAAAATACGCGTGGCATACAGGTTTTCACATCGAATCATCAACACTTGGAACCTGCTGCCTGAAGCAGTGGTGTCCGCACCTTCAATCGACTCTTTCAAGAGAAGACTGGACACTGTCAGAAACATACTAGAAAAGGAATAACATAGGCCGTAGGCCTTCTGTCCTTACTACACATCTGAATCTGATTTAAAAGGATGAATCGAGTAATTACGTGGACTCTCCTTAAGACACATCAAATTAGCAAATGAAAGTGTCGGTTTTAGGATTAAAAAACGGCAGATCCCAACGATGGGGGAATATATCAAACCACAATTCCGGTTTTAAGAATATTGTCTCAGTAACTTAGAAGTAAGGGATGAAATCATAAAGATGTCCTACAGTGAAACTTACAACTCACTATGAAAACAGTTTTGTTAGGAAATCAAACTTTTGGATCCCTCATAAAGATCAACTACTTTGGCTTATGTTTTACCTACAATGATGTTTCAGTATAGGTCTTTGTACTGCTATCTAAATTCTGAAGGTGGTGTAAGAGTGTGTTACTTGGTTTCGCTAACTATAGTAATTCAGTGGTGATCATTGCTTTTACTGTGTATTGATAATCAAGATACCCGAATAGCATGTAACCATTTGAGAATTAGTGACCATAAGTACAGGACGCACTTTGTACTCTCAAATGCATTCGTTTTGGATGGCTGTGAGGTGCTTGTCCGTACACTTTCTCTTTATAACAAGTCATTAGAAAGAGTCGGGACATTCTTTTGTTTGGCTAGTGGTAGCGTAGGAGTTAAGGTCAATCTTTGTATAATAAAAGCTAAAAAATTCCATGTTAATTAGGCCAGTCTTTGGTATCGTGACGTCTGTAAATGATTGATATCCCGTGGTAACACCGTGTTGCTAATCTCAAAGTCGGACAGTGTATTTGGACGCGATGGTTGCGATTCATTTACTATCTTCTCGAAATATTAACTTTGATTTCTTCGATATATATCTTACAAATGTTATCTCAAAGACTTACACTGTTTATTATATCCCGATTCTGGGATTGGGCGGTAAGAACGGAGAGATCTTCAATACTGTAACGCGTTGTTATGAGTTGAGACTATAATGCGTATATCATTTCATCATGACTTACCAGTCGAAGTCTCAGAAACATGGGGACTCAATAGTTTAAGTTATTGCCGGATATAACTCAACTGGAACTAGTGGTGAATCCTACTATAATTTTCGACTACAGTCTTCATGAAGATGAGGCAATCCGTCAGATTATTCAGAGTTTTGCCATTTCATATTGTGTTTGTCACTCATGTATGAACTCAAATCAGTTTCATAACGATCAATTATCAAGACTATAACTTTAAACATTATGACTACTTTTAAAGTATCTTTGTGGTGTCTAGTAATGTCTTATTGTCTACGACTCTGATTCTTAATTTTCGTAGTCTTATCGTTTTTGTTAGCCTACTTGTAATAGCTCAGTTGAAAAGAATAATCTGACTTTATTTTCAATTAAGGAGCGTGGAAGCCTATTTGCTGATATGTCGAAATACCACATTATGTCCGCTAAAAATTAAAGAAAACTGATATGTATTCCCCCTAAGCTAATAACCACAAGCCCTGACTTCAGTGAAAATAAATGAAACTCCTTGTTCATTAAATCGAGATTAAAATCTAAGTTTGTTCGAAAAATTCACTGATAGAAATCCAAGAAGAGAAATTAATCGTCCGAATACATTCATTTATACAGGGATTTGACCACTGATTATTAAGTAGATAATTTGTCACGAAAATCACACTGTTTCAATAAAACTTACATTGAATTAATGTGAAGGTCAAGTGAACAGAAATCAAATTATTGTCAGTACATAATTTTATAATTAGTAACCCTCTAATAAATTTACTGTGGCCAAAACCGTTTACAACTACTTAAAGTACTTTGGCAATAATGTAAATCAGTGATTAAGCACAAGCTATTGTGTTCAACTTTAAACTAAAAACTTTGTACGGAGGTTAATAATACTTCGTGATTACCTAGACCAAAGTAGTTGAATTGAAGTCCAAATCACCAAGCCAACGATTAAAATTCGAGTGCCCTAAACATTAAACCATTGTTGGAGACTCCCCATCTTTCCAAACAAGTTTTCGTAAGGCTTCACGGTCGTTTACTGATTTCGAGGAATCGTAAAATTCTTTCTTTCCATCTTTGTACCCACGATATAACAATAATCATAAAGTGTAAGTAACCTGAATCTTGGAAGAACAAATTAGGTGTATCTACTGTCTCGGTTTTGAAAGGTTACCTATATAAACTAAAAACAATTAATTTACTTGGGATTGGTGGAAATATCTTCTTAACTTACTGTTGATAGAAATTCTTCATCCACCCCTTATGAATCGCAGTCAGTGGCACGGTCATATGCAAGATATAACTTAGCAATTATGTCCATCAGTTGAAGTTACTACATCATATCAGCCCAGAGAGATGGAATAATCTGGATAAACTACGTCTGTAGAGATAGTAACAGTATCAGTGGAAAGCTTATAAACTGCCGATTGTTGTAAAGGTTCTTCCTGCATAAGAATTTATGTTCCCAGATGATCGATAATTTTTTGATATAATTCCAATTATTTGTTATGTTCTAGGAGTTGGCTAATTACATTCATTCAAACTAAACTGAATAATAATTAAGTTATTTTGTAATACCGTCATTGCATATGTATAAAGCACTGTACTTTCAACCAGCAGGTCATCACTAGAAGCTTCACTCCACCTCCTAGGGTTTCAGCATATCAGACTTTGTAAAACCAATATATCCCAATCTAGGAAAAACGTTTTCTTGCTTATTGTATTGACATCTAGGGATTTTATTAGCAGGATTCAGGTCAGATTAGATCATATTCCATACAAAATTATGTTGGAGCCTATTATGTCGCCCGATTTTCAGCCTACCAGCGCTAGTGGATAAATGAAAAAAGACCTAAGCTAGACCACCATTGAAAACGTGGGACAACTAGAGGACCGTTTATTCGTAGTATAGTACGAAACGCTGGTCTACCTTAGATGGACTCGTGAATTCAACTAATAAAATTACTACAATCTCCACAAACCCTCATTTTGATAAATGAAAAATTCAAATCGTTTTGCATACAAATTTTAAACATTTCTCTTATTGTACCAACTGTCCCCAAATGCCCTGGTACGGCCGAGAGTGGGGAGAGTCAGCTCCCCCTCTCAAAATGCTCCCACATGGCTACGTGCATACAACCACTGCCAGGGAAGTCCTACTCACTGCCTTCTCATGGTAAGGGTGTTTTTTTACGAAATTGAGAGGACGAAAAGCGAATATCCGGCGCTTTGACCGGGTGGATGAATACGGATGATCCACCTAGAGGAGTTGGAAAAACCTGATCCCAAACCAATGGTGCACATGGGCTTCACTATCCTGAAGAAACAAATGGCGTATGAACCAATCGTTGGTCACTGGCTACCATGTGACTGCGTCTCCCCATGATGCTCCACTGCCTTGTAGATCAGATCTTCAGGTCAACGGCTCGGGGTGTCCCCCCCTAAGAACACCACCTGCTTCGGTTTGGACACCCGGGCAGTATCACAGCCCTCACACAAATCGAATAGTGAAGTGTGGTGCATATCTCTTTGGTGCTTCCTTGTACCAGTGTTTATGTGTCTAACTAAATAAATATTATATCAACTTGATGAACTTACAAGAATTAAAAGCATATGTAAAACAGGACTTTCGAATGTTCGCGCCTTAAATATATATTGTCGACAATGAGAGACAATAGGGTGACGATAATCTCTATTCAATCCCATATTTAATTATGGCGAAAAATCCTCAGCACATAGTATGCAACATTACGAGAACTCGTTTTATTTTCAGCTCCTAAATACTATATATATATATATATATATATATATATATATATATATATATATATATATATATATATATATATATATATATATATATATATATATATATATATGAAGCTTCTAGACTGATTCATCCACAAATGTTTACGACCAGTCTTGTTTCCATGGCATCACTTTTCGTTGTACATTATATTTGGTGTTAGGATCGTCATAGTGGTTCCCTTTTCTTTCTCTAAAGGATAGATTAGTAGACGCCGGTGGTTCCCCTTGAATTTCTGAGTAGTGTGGTCCGCTATAAGTTGTATATATTAAGGAAATCCTTTGAGTATATATAGTTACCATGTATAATCATCATCAAAACAAATATAAAGCAAGAAAACTTATGGCAGTAAGTGTACACTACAAAGGTAGGTGACTTAGGATATCGACCAGGACGCCGATGTAAGCTACATTACATACTTGCTCTCGCCTTCGTAGGACTAGTTATATTTTAGTGAATGGCATAGACGAATAGTTCGTGGATTCGAATTTAAGTGGAGCTTTTAGCATTTTACGAACTCTAAATAAAACAAAGTACGTTCCTATTGTTATGCTGTTATCTTATTTCAGTAGAGTTTTATTTTGTCAAACATTCTTGCTTACATGCATGTAGATACCACTGCGTTATACTGAGCACCACATACTCTGTGGTAATGTTGCATCCATGTATTATAATGATAAGTTCTGACCAACCGCTCGACCTATCGGTTTATTGTAGGTTTTAGGACAACCATCGGGATGCTAAAATGTCTGAATTTTACTGAAGTTATTTAACAACTCTAGTATCTGAAACTTAATTTACCTGAATCTTATAGTTTTTGTCTATGGCTGTTCTATTTCTGTTAGAATTTGTTCTACGTGTCTTTTTTCAGGTCTTTTAACGGAGGAAACTATCAAACCTGATAATTCTGTCTCCTACGATAATGAAAACAAAACTCCCGGAAATTCTGATTGGTGGATGCCAGACAAGTCATTCCGGAAAGGCGTACATTTAAACACCGGTTACTCATCGTCCCGATCTTCTGGTACTGTTACTTCTCAGGACTCTAACTCGTCTACTTATTTTGCTAGCACTATTGAAGAGTGTAAAATCACCAAGAAGTTACATGATGCCAGTGTATGGAGTTATCGAGATTTACCCGATCACTCATCGGATCAGCTTAGTGGAATTCAACCAAAAGGGAGTTCTACAGATCATTGTAAGTTGATATTGTTGAGGTTGACATTCGAATTTCTGTGTTAATAACACCTGAGTTGAATACAAACCCTAAATCATACGTGTTATTAGTTTACGTTTAATTAGTTTGTAACTTGTTGTTCTTCATTTAACCTGATTTTGATTTTGATAAAAACCTTTTATTGTTTTTACTTCTCGTTTCAAATTCTATAGAATATTTATTATTCTGCTACTTACATACCTACTATTAGTTTGAAGTAATGTATTCCATTATGCCATTATAAATCAGACCCAACCCAATTCTTCTAAAGCACTGTCGTTGAGAACGGTGGCTCAGAGACTGAAACATCCAACTTTCAACCATTGCGTCCCAAGTTCAAGCCTTCCCCCAAACTACTTCAGTTTAGGAAGTCAAGTAGTATTAATATCACCCACACAAAAAGTAGAAATCGAAGTCGTGTACAAAACCTCTACGTGGTCAGTGATTCAATGACTTCAACCTTCATTCGTTTTATCATTTCCCTGTGTAATGTATTGCACTTTATATTTTCCATTTGTTTCTAATAATTTTCTTCCAAAATTACTGTAACTGGTTATTCCTTAATGTCATACTTCTTCTTAATATTTTCCTCTTTACATCGAGTAAACTTTATCTTTGTCGTATTGTAGCTATTCCCAACTACAGTTCGGCGTGATGGTTTCTACGCTACTCTCAAACATATACTATTAATTCATGCCAAAATTAATTCCCTCCAGAGTATATTATGTGATTTTGAATACTACACGCTAAAAATCTGTGGTTTGACTGTAAACACTACACATCAGTGCCTTGAATATGTTGTAGTTTTATGCCAATCACCCTAATCGTGGTGTAGAGGCAATCAGAATTTAGATCCGCAAGTACATATTTCAGACCAACTATCAACTTTTGCTTTGTCCAACTGCTTATTGTCATAGACTGTTTTTTTAATCTGTCTGAAATATCGTTAACAGCACTGGTCTTCACTAACCCTTCGTTAAGAAAAAAATATACTGAAGGGAGCTGTCCAACTCAATTATCTGAAGTGGCAAAATGATGTGTAAAGTATTTTATGTATTTTAGTAACTGATTTTAGTCATCACTGAGACATATTGTAGTTTTATGAACGCCCTGCTGAGTACTAAAATATGGTACGATCTATTCTACAGATACGTTAATGATGTATAATGATAAAATTGCGTACTTGTAACTTATAAACTGAGTAATTCGTGCACTCGATGATTGAGACTGTCTAAGGCACATTGTTGATCACCTCTTCTGACGATATATGAAATCATGATTTAACAGAACCCTTAAAATAATCTTATAGACTTTATACTGTTTTCGGTTTTCAGGTCCATACAACCACTAAAAAATATACAGAAAATGAATGCGATCCTCCCATAAAATGCAACAAATTGGTAGAGAAATATGCAAAGTAGCTGAGAATATGAGTAACATATAATCGTAAAATGAAACTAAATCTATCTGTATAATTCATCGTAAAAGTTCAAAACGGGGTAATATAAGATTAGAACTGTGATTCGATACGTGTAACTACAATCATACAGAATGTTACAAGCCACAGTAGTACGTTTGAAAGTCATACATAGTAGGAATTATTAGTCGACACTATTGAAGTAGGATGAATAGAAATAAAAGACTTTTTTATTCACATTTACCAACGCACAAGAAAAATGTATGAACAAATCGTCAAACATTATTGTAATCATCAAAGTTGGGTATAATCTCTTTGTGTGTAAATTTTATTGAATTTTTGAAATCCCACTAACTAACCAACCGAAGCAATACTAATGTTCTTTTTTTGTATTTTGCGTTTTAACATTTTTCGTTCTTGTTAATATTACCTGTTATAATATAAGGCGTAGTAACGTAGACCACTTATTGGATTCCGTATATTCTAAATACAGTTTTACTGACGTCACTCTGTATTCTCCGGATGTAATAGATCATTTCCAAATAATTAATTTGATAAATTACCTGGCATATTGACCTGAATTACTTTTGCAGTTACATTCGTACACAAACCAGTGTTTAACTCCTTTATTTCAATAATTCAAATTCAGTTTGCTCCAGTTCAAACACGTTTCAAACGTTTTTAGTTGGTACATACCATTTTCGCAGGTTGAAATCATGAGTCAGTTGAAGCTAGACCACCATTGAAAACCTGGAAGCACTGGATGGCCGTTTTGTCCTAGTATGGGAATCCTCAACAGTGCGTATCCACGAACCCCCCCCCGCGGGATCCGAACCCAGGACCTACTGGCTTCGCGCGCGAGCACTTAACCATTAGACCACTGAGCCGGCATCCAACGGTGTTAATGTCTAACTTCAACCAATCCACCATTGTCTTCAGTGAGCTGATATCTCACAACAGACCTGGTTGGACTCCACTGGTGACGGCTTCTCACTAGAACTCCAGGAGGTTCTCCTGAAGTCAGTCACTAGTGAGCAGTTGATTATTATCAGACTCATGATTTCAACCTGTGAAATTTCCTAAAAATCTCCACAAAACTCATTCTGACATACCATTTTGTTGCTTACTTCAACTTTTAATACGAGAATTTGCGTTTTCTACATTTTTGATACCGAGTACTTCATCAAAATTACGTATTTCTCCAATAACTTTTCAAGCTTTACAGAACACTGATTCTCAACGTACAAATTCTCAGAACAAATATCAGTTTTCACTGAATAGTGACCAAAAATCTGAAGTTAACAAATGGAAAGTATCACACTATCGTAGCTCTTCATTCCCATTCTCACAACATAATAACACTTATTGTAATCGAAATGAAAAACGTAAAGAAAAACATCTTAAATGGTTATCATCATTCGCATTACAATCAAAGAGAGAAGCTGAATACGCATCACAGTTTGATGAGTTCTTTATTTCAAAAGACATTGATAACCCTGTTACTAATTGCCATTTGGTAGTAACACGCTCGGAAGTAACGCAATTATTTACAGCTCAATATAAAATCTCGTCAGTTGATTTTGACAATATTTGGTAAGCAGCGTTTTTTATCTGATTCGAAATCTCGAAGAAAAGAACGTTTAGCTTATTTGTAATAAATAATTAATTGTTGCTCCTCAATAGCTAAGTAAAGGTTTCCGCACTAGGCTTTTAGGTACTTTCCAATTAAGAACTAGATGTGGAAATCGTGCGCCCTAATCAGGATGGGGAATGTAGGATCTGGAATTACTATTTGGCAAAGCATCAATCATTATTTTAGTGGCTAACAAACTCGATTCTTAACTATTTGGTTGCGAATTCGATCACCATAACACATACTTCGTCTTTAAAAAAAATCTGGATAGTATTACTATTTGCTACACATAAAATGTGGGTTAGAGCCTAACACACAAGTCTGTACTTCGTCTAGAGGAAAGCTAGGGGCGGTCAAACCAAAGGTTGGCATCAGTTCATGAAGTCGTTGACAATTGAACTGAGCCCTATAAGTAGATGGGGACCACCTTGTTGACGTCCGCGTGTTTTTCATAAGCGAATGTCCGGCGCTGTAACCGTGTTGATGAATACGGATGATCCACCTAGAGGAGTTGGAAAAACCTGATCCCAAACCAATGGTGCACATGGGCTTCACTAACCTGAAGAAACAAATGGCGTATGAACCAATCGTTGGTCACTGGCTACCATGTGACTGCGTCTCCCCATGATGCTCCATTGCCTTGTAGATCAGATCTTCAGGTCAACGGCTCGGGGTGTCCCCCCCTAAGAACACCACCTGCTTCGGTTTGGACACCCGGGCAGTATCACAGCCCTCACACAAATCGAATAGTGAAGTGTGGTGCATATCTCTTTGGTGCCTCCTTGTACCAATGTTTATATGTTTAAATATATGAGTAGTAAAAATCAATGGTTAGTGACTTAGAGTGGCTGAAAATCGTTTGCAATCGCTCAGACGGATTCATTATCTTTCTTAGTTTCTGAATCCTTCGCTAATTTATATTTTCTTGAGTCGTTTCTTTGATGCTTGGTCTTCTCAACCGCCACTAGTACTGTTGTCATCTCTGTGGTGTATGCCATTTATTTTGACAGACGTAAGTAGTATATAGCATCAATCCAAGGTTAAATGACTAGTAACAGAATGCTAAGAGAATCAAATTGAAGAAAACAGAAGGGGAAAGAGAAAGGAATTTTGAATTTGAAGAATCTGACAGAATGTACAGGACAATTGATGGAAGATTTGCAAATGAAGCATTTAATGTATGGTCCTCATATTTTACGAAAATATTTCGTAATTTTCTTTGAAATAATAAAATGGTTGTCCCCACTCAAGTCTCATTCATTTCGCTCCTACCGTTCTTGGATTTGACCTAACAATCTTAATTCTTTGTGCTGATTGTGTATGGCAACTTGAACCGATATACATACGTACCAGGTTCTATATTACGACTGATCAACCGGTGTTTGGAGACTGAGTGATAGTTCAGGGTCATTCGGAATGACTCATGTGCATCTCCCCTTGTATTCCGTCAGATACTGAGCTCGGGAATTTTCCTCCTCTCTTTTTTCTCTCTAGATACCTAATATTTTTACTACTACTGATACTGTTATTACTTCCACTACTCTGACACCTGTCGTTATAATCTTATCTCATTGTGCTAATATGCTAATTCTGAATTTCCATGATTACTAGCATATGGATATATGTAACTGGATCAATTCCAAGTAATATTAAGTATCTACCCTGATTCTCAGTGCGAACTATAGTTGGAATATTCTCGTGACGATAGGAGGTAAGATTAAAATAATAGTTCAGTGGTGTACGACAACAAATAATAAGTCATGTTAGCACCAGATACCTATTACAAATAGTGAATGACACTTTGTTATTTGTGGTAATGAATAATAAACTGGATTTTCATCGGAAATATCGCGTTCCTCAAACTTTTGATGTGTCCCAACCCCATCCTCAAAGACATCAAGATATTCGTCGTTTAGATCAAAATTCATCAAGCTTTTCTTCATACAACATAATCTGTCTTAACTGTTTCCTACTGCTCATCAGATCGATTTTTGAAAGAGAAAAAAAACTTTCAAATACGACGGAACTTACATAGAGCATTTTGGTCATTTTTAAAACTTGTTTATTTATCGACGTATAGCTGATACTTTTTTGTTTGTATGCTCATACTTTTTAATTAGGTTAACTGCTGATATCAATCGGGACAATTATTTAGATAAAGCTGAATTTTGTTTAGCCAGTCATTTAGCACATTTGCTTGGTCATCGTGGTTTATCATTGGATGATGCCGTTAGTGCTTGCAAACCTTATATCAGTAAAATTATTAGAAGGTTAAGGAAGTCTGAAGCCAAAGGTATGCTTGTAACGACTATTTGCTTTTTCTATGGGAATTTCATGATCAGTATATTTGAAAGACTAATACATGAACGAAGAATATTGTTTTTGATAAATTCTCTCCAAGTTCTACAATTATATATCCAAATTGATAGTTTGAAAAGTATCCAGGTCTAGGGCACACTGCATCGTTCAAAGTTATAACATGTGAATTTAGGATTGTTAAACAATATAGAATTGGTAATGTTGATATGATTCATGGAATGTTAACTTGAATGAACTTATATGTTAATTGAGATTTTACGATTCATGATCCGAATAAATATGAGAAGCCGTGACCAGGGGAGTTCAATCCATTTCGGGCAGAGACGGGTATCCACCTCAGACAATGGATAGAGGGTTGCTCGAGATCATGGATCGATTGAAGTTAGACACTGACACCGTTGGGATGCCGGCTCAATGGTCTAGAGGTTAAGCGTCCACGCGTGAGACCGAAGGTGGATCCGAATCCCGCACGCGGGATCGCGGATGAATACTGTTGGGGAGTCTTGTACCAGGAAGAAATGGCCGTCCAGTGCTTCGAGGTTTTCACTGGTAGTCTAGCTTAGATCGACTCATGAATTCAAACATTAAAATTATTACAATCTCTACAAACCCCCATTCTGATAAAATATAATCGTCTCTTATATCTTTATTCACATATCTTTATATTACTATTAGTATTAGTTTAACATCATTATTAGTCTGCCGAATACATAATTCATTTACTTCGTATTCATCCCACTTTATTACGTCTTACCAAGTTTTTACAAATTGTAGTCTTCCACTAAACATTTGATCGAATTTGTAATTGCACCATTATTTCTCTCATCCTATCTCACCCATATTTATTCGGATCATGAGTCGTAAAATCTCAATTAACATATAAGTTCATTCAAGTTAACATTCCATGAATCATATCAACATTACCAATTCTATATTGTTTAACAATCCTAAATTCACATGTTATAACTTTGAACGATGCAGTGTGCCCTAGACCTGGATACTTTTCAAACTATCAATTTGGATATATAATTGTAGAACTTGGAGAGAATTTATCAAAAACAATATTCTTCGTTCATATATTTATCTTTTAATATGATGGGGATCGGGTATGGCCGAGAGTGAGGAGAGTCCGCTCTCCTTCTCGAAATGCTCTCACATGGCCACGCGTATATAGCCTCTGTCAGGGAAGTCCTACTCACTGCCTTCTCGTAGCATTATTGTTGTTTACAAAAATGAGAGGACGAAAAGCGAATGTCCTGCGCTTTAACCGGATCCCAAACCAATGGTGCACATGGGCTCCAGTATCCTACAGGAACAAATGGCGTATGAACCAATCGTTGGTCACCGGCTACCATGGAACTGCATCTCCTCACGATGCTCCACTGCCTTGTAGGTTAGACCTTTAGGTCAAAGGCTCGAGGTGTAGCCTCCTAAGATAACCACCTGCTTCGGACTGGGCACCCGGGCAGTATCACAGCCCACACACAAATATGATGAACTGCCTATAATTATGGAAACTACTTTACTTGCTTCAACTAACAATCAAATTATTATTATTATTATTATTATTATTATTATTATTATTATTATTATTATTATTATTATTATTATTATTATTATTATTATTGTTTACCACATTATTCACCCTCTTTTATACTTATACAGCGGCTCGTCTTTGGCGGAAATTCAACTGTATCTAAACGTTCTCGAGTCACTGTCCGGTTGAAAATTGTATGTTACCACCGAATATGAGTACTGGAGCAGTTTTTCTGAAACCACGTGAACCATTCAAACTGGCTGCCTTCAACGTTCGCACACTTATGCAGGTTGAACAACAGATAGGGCTGGCTATGTCTTTAGAAAGTCTTAATATCGATGTTTGCTGTCTATCCGAGACCCGTATTCAAGACTCTGGTGAAGTACTACAAATTCGTTCTCCATCTGTCGCTTCAAAAGGCTTGTTTTACGTGCGCTTATCCGGGGACCCTGTGGCATCTTCGTCTGGTCTTGCTGGCGTTGGTGTCGGACTAAGCGCTAGAGCTGAGGCAGCACTAATCGATTGGATCCCCATTAACAGTCGGTTATGTGCTGTTAGATTAGAGAGTTCCATCAAAGTGAGAAGAAATCGGCGTGAGAAACGATGTCTTTTCGTCATCTCTGCCTATGTCCCGACAGATTGCAGCCCGGATGCAATCAAGGATGAGTTTTACCACCAGTTAGCAGTCCTTCTCCAGAAAGTGCGTTCGACAGATATTATAGTACTAGCCGGAGACTTGAATGCTCAGGTCGGTCATCTAGGCACAGAAGAGAGTCGTTTAGGTGGCCGATGGGGACTTGTTGGTCGCAGGACAGATAACGGGGACCGTCTACTGCAACTGTGCGCAGACGACAACCTGTTTCTGGCTAGCACTACCTTTCGGCACAGTCATCGCCGATGTGCCAGCTGGCGTCCTCCCTCCGCACCTCACGCCTGGACTCAGATTGATCACATCGCGATCAGCTACCGCTGGCATGGTTGTGTACAAGACTGCCGCTCCTTTTGGAGTACCTATCTGGACTCTGACCATGCCTTGGTCTGCGCCAATCTTACCTTACTTTTCAGTGGCCAACGAAATGACCGCCACCAACGGATTGATGTTAGCAAGCTGGTTGTAACTCCTGTTGTTAATAAGTATCGAATCGAGCTAGCTTCTTGGCTGGCCACCATTCCACCGAAAAGTATGGATGAGCATTGGTCGCAATTGCATGACGCCATGAAAATGGCGGGTACGGTCAGTTGTGGGTTCGCGAAACGTCCCGCTTTTAAGCACTGGGTTTCTTCTGGTTCCTTACAACTCATTGAAGCCCGTCGGTCTACTCCGGGTGATAGTGAGTTTGACCACAAACGAAGGATGTTACGTGATGAAATTGGGCAAAGCTTGCGTAAGGACTGAGAAGCCTGATGGTCGATGCGTGCCAATGAGCTGGAAGCAACAGCTGCATCTGGTAATTACCGGAAGCTCTTCCAACTCATCCGAGCCACTGGCAGCAAGAAGTCTGGTGTGAGCGAAACAATCTGCGATGATGACGGGATGTCAATCACTAACATCCATCGACGTCTTGGACGATGGGCAGAGTTTTTCGAAGGGCAGTTCAACTGGCCTGCTGCTCCGGCAACATCAGTCAGACTGTCCTACTCTCCATGGCCGGTGACGACTGATCCACCAAATGAAGCGGAAGTCCGCAAGGAACTCCAACTCTTGAGGCGCTACAAATCACCGGGTCCAAATGACTTACCTCCGGCTCTTTTTAAAGATGGTGGTGACTTTCTGGCTAAGGAACTGATTGTGTTGTTTACGAAGTTCTGGGAGCTAAAGAGTGTTCCGACGTCATGAAATGAGTCGGTAGTTGTCCCTATCTTTAAAAAGGGTTCACGTCGTTCCTGTAACAACAATCGGGGGATGAGTCGACTTCCGATTGCGTCCAAGCTATTGGCTTCCGTCATACTTCGTAGGTTGTTCAAAAACCCGAGAAGGATCAACTAGCGAGGAGCAGGCTGAGTTTCGTTCTGGTCCGCCAAATGTTAGAACACCGCCATACTTATCAAAGGCCAACAATCGTAGTGTTTCTTGACATCAGGACTGCCTTCGATTCGTTGGATAGGACTGTTCTCTGGTATTGTCTATTGAAGAAGGGTGTGCCTGAGAAGTTTATTAACATCCTAAAAAGCCCTATATACAAACACCTGAGGCAGAGTGAGGGCATACAACCACCTTTATCCATTGTTCCATTCGGGCAGTGGGGTTAGGCAGGGTTGCCCAATCTCACCATTCCTCTTCAACTTTGCCATCTATGACATTCTGGAAACAGCTCTGATGGATGTAAGTAATGGTGGTGTGGATCTGTTGCTTGGAGAAAGACTTCTCGACCTTGAGTATGCGGATGATAATGTTTTACTCTGCGATAATGCCCAAGGCATGCAATCCGCACTTAATCAGTTGACAATCAGTGTCCGTAGGTATGGTATGTGCTTTGCACCTTCGAAGTGCAAAATACTTCTACAAGACTGGCAGGATCGTAATCCTGTACTCACCCTGGATGGTGAACAGATAGAAGTAGTCGAGAAGTTCGTGTATCTGGGTAGCTGCATAAGTGCTGGTGGTGGCGTTAGTGGTGAGATCAGTGCATGTATAATGAAAGCCAGAGCGGCTCATGCCAATCTGGGCCATCTTTGGCGCCTTCGTGATGTTAGTCTGGCTGTGAAAGGTCGGATCTACAACGCGTCGGTGAGAGCAGTTTTGTTCTATGCTTGTGAAACCTGGCCTCTCTGAGTTGAGGTCGTTAGACGACTCTCTGTGTTCGATCATCGCTGTCTCCGAAGGATTGCTGACATTTAGTGGCAACACCATGTCAGTAATGCAGAGGTTCGGCATCGTGTGTTCGGAAACAGAGACGATAATGAAATTGGTGTCACCATCTTGAAACACCGACTTCGGTGGCTTGGACATGTTCTTCGAATGTTGTCCCAGAGAATTCCACGTCGTGCATTATTTGCCGACTCTGTGACTGGTTGGAAAAAGCGGAGAGGTAGTCAGTATATGACATGGTGTCGTGGGATGAAAGGAAGCTGCAAACGGCTGGCTTGTGTTGGTCCCTCACGACTCCCTGGTTGGGGTCCGAGAGATGGTGCTACACAGTGGCTAGAGACGTTATCATATATGGCTCAGAATAGAAGCCAGTGGCGATCCTGCTGTAACCTTCTTTTACTTTCTTCATTAAAAAAGGTTGTATCTTCCTTAACTGAAGGGTTTCTTCTGATTGTGCCTTTCCGTTCCCCCATTATTACCACTATTATTATTACACTACCTTACACCAATCTCTTCCTTTTTGTTCTTTTTTTTACCCTCCTTACCTTTTTTTTCTTTCTCCTTCTCTTTAAATTTTCATTGTTTTGTGTGGCGCATATATATTTGGCGCACTCTTGTACGAATATGTATGTGTTCAAATAAATAAAACGCTATCAGTATATTTCACAATTCATATGATAAACATGAAATGTCGTAAGATTACTGATAAGTATTACCTTTGATGAGACTACTATGATTGTTGAACATTCTCTCTATCATTTCCATGTACATGGTGTGACAAATAATAGTTAACTGGATGTGTTGTTCACAGTATTTATTGGAATCACAATTACTCTGTCACTTCCAAACAAAAACGTGGAATATAATTTTCGTTTCAATGGCACTAAAATGTGCATACGTATAACACCATTAATATAAGTTTGGCAGACTACTCTAGGACGAATCTCATGAAGTGACAAATTCCAATTCGAATATGGGCTAACTAATTTTATAGCCATTAGGAATTGTAAAGTAACTATGAAAGAAGAATAAGAAATAGTTTTATTGATTTCTGGTATCAGTACTGATAATAATTAAAGTAACCAAGCAATTTTGTGGTATCCTTCAGGTGGTTAAAATGGATTGAGAATTGGTTACTTTGAATATCCTTATATGATGGTTCATGTAATGACGGCAAGGGTGAGTTTGAGTCTGCAACTGATTGGTTGATTGTCGAAGCCTTTAACCACTGAGCCACTTCTCGTTAGTTTTTTTGTACAACGATTTTACTCTGATGTTTCAGCTGCCTTCATACTAATTCACGTTTGTTAGCTATTTAGTCTGATCAGAAGAAACTCAAATGTAAATTGGTCTACGAAGGTTTCAAACATACACAAACTGCGAGCATGTGGTCGCAAGTGTCTTCAAAGTTTTCCTCTTGTTTGGCGGAACTGCAAAGTAAGCAGTGACGAGGTTAGATGTGGAGTACTTGGTAAAGATCAGACGTTGGTTGATGAAGATATGAATCTTCATCGACTGGGGTAGTTAATGCTTGTCCAACTATTGCCTAACTCGATGAAAAATGTTGGTTAATGTGAGAATTTCATCTTATTGTGTTGATTTAGTTTGGCAACTTGACCAGATCCGCTTTTACAAAAGGTCGCACAATGATTATGACTGAATGGATATACTAGATCCTTCGTCGGTATACAAAAGTTACATGGACAGATAATTTTGCTTAGAAAGCAAAAATTAAAAGGCTATTTTACTTTCGAGTTTATTATTCTGTAATATATTTGACAATTATTTTAATTTTATCCTCCATTTCAACGTAAACTTATTTTCAATTTATAAAAGGTAATCAATTCGACCTTCCTCATCTAGAATATTTCTGCGCCACTGGTTTACTGAACAATGATTCAAAATATAATTCAATAAATAATCCATTGCTGAAACAACACTCGGCGATAGACATTTTTAATAAAAGAAACCCAATTGTTTTTGATGATTCTTGTTCCTTGAATATGGATTCTGCCTTTGGTATTTCTGAGACTAATTCTAAAAGTTTATATTATAATTCATTTGAAAATTTGTCACACTGTCCTGTTGTTAGTTGTGATAGTTATAGTAAGTCTTCATCTTCAACTGGAATTGTTGGTAGCTCCTCTTCCTCTTCGTCATCATCTTCATCCTCCAATCCATCCTCCTCACGCTTATCTGCATCACCATTCTCGTCGTCTGAAATTAGTGGTTCTGTTGATTCAGTGCATTTATCAAGTGAAAAGACTAGTACAAATAACCCGTAAGATGACACGGTTCACTATTATTATTATTATTATTATTATTATTATTATTATTATTATTATTATTATTATTATTATTAACTGTTTGTCCGTATTTTTGATATCATGAATATCTGTCTTATCATCTTAGTTGTTTGTTGAAAAAGGATATTTTAATTTTTCAGACTTGGTAGTTCTCTTAATAACTACTGTTTATAATAGAAAATTCTGATATTTTCCCACTTTGAGTTAATCTTGGTTGAAGTGAGGTTGTGATCTAGTTAATAGTCATTCTTTGCAATTAAAAGTATCAAATACTCAACACGGACCAAAACTGTTCGTTCAAATCCTGATTAATATTCATATATACCAGATATATAATGAAGAACTTATTATTAGAATATAATTTTTTCCTTTACAATGCTTTCTGACAGAACAAAACTTTCTTATAGTTATTGAGTAGAGGAAAACCAACCCCGGCTATGCTGATCTACAGTGTTTAATCTACTTTGTGGAAATACATTAATAAATATATTAGTTTACAAGTGAAATTTTTGTAGATTGCTCTGTGAAATGCTGTACCGCCGATTCAAAGTGTTTAGTGTTCTAAACTGTTAAAAAATTGTAAACAGGGCTGTAGCCTTTGGATTCCATTTATACCGAATTGAGCTGCCATTACTATGCTGATATCATCTTCATATATATTGAAAACTATCCAGCAATTTTCAGAGTCCACAGAATAACTGGCTCTGAATCTTATATGCGATCCCAACCATTCACTGGAGTGAGAGGATTACAGGAGCTTTCATTGGCTAACCCGAATAAAAAATCTATGGACAACCCATTCATAAATGTACATACGTACCCCACAGGAAGTTAAACTACATTGTCAATTTAATAGTCTATGTCTTTCCTGAGTGAGTTAAACCTAATCTTAATCAATAGCGTGTGGTCTTCAGCTCCTCTCACTTATTATTATTATTATTTGAAGACATATATATTGGTACAAGGAGGCACCAAAGAGATATGCACCACACTTCACTATTCGATTTGTGTGAGGGCTGTGATACTGCCCGGGTGTCCAAACCGAAGCAGGTGGTGTTCTTAGGGGGGGACACCCCGAGCCGTTGACCTGAAGATCTGATCTACAAGGCAGTGGAGCATCATGGGGAGACGCAGTCACATGGTAGCCAGTGACCAACGATTGGTTCATACGCCATTTGTTTCTTCAGGATAGTGAAGCCCATGTGCACCATTGGTTTGGGATCAGGTTTTTCCAACTCCTCTAGGTGGATCATCCGTATTCATCCACCCGGTCAAAGCGCCGGATATTCGCTTTTCGTCCTCTCAATTTCGTAAAAAACACCCTTACCATGAGAAGGCAGTGAGTAGGACTTCCCTGGCAGTGGTTGTATGCACGTAGCCATGTGGGAGCATTTTGAGAGGGGGAGCTGACTCTCCCCACTCTCGGCCGTACCAAGGCATTTTGGGGCACCTCTCACTTATTAGCTGATCGATATGTTACATTTCCTCATTTGTTAAGTGGAACTCCTGTTATTTGATTAATACTCTTTTAAGTTAGCTAAGGACGTTTACAATCCCTTATATTTTCGTGTAATAACAATTTATTACCCGCTTCTTTAAAAAATGTAGGCTGTAATATAAAAATCGCGTGTTTAAACTTAAGAATCTTTTGTTTCTGATTCCTTGTCTATTGTTCAAGTGTAATCAACATACGAATTCGAGCCATAGGTTCACATTTTATTGATACACTTTTATGCTAAATATTATATTTTTTTAGTTCTGAACAGTGTTTGCCTTTTTAGATATTTGGTATGTGGCCATAACTGAAATCCAGGACTCGCGTCTCCTCTTGTTTGTTACTCGTCAGATGGATGTACATGCATCTTAGTGTTAACGTTTAGACTGAGACTCGAGTCTAGTATCTTTCTAAGAGCTATGTCGAAACTATTTGCTGAAAGATTTATATATGGGAACAGATATTGATTAACAACAAAACAGCAGTGACCCTTAATGATATAAGCGTATGTTTCTGTGGAGATTGTTGAATGGTATGGTTTAAGCATATATTGTTTTTTTGAATAAATGACCAAATAATCTGTATTCTTTACAAACATAATATCAAATATCCCATCTCCCACACAGAATTTTTCCCATACATAATTTAAAGTCCCATTTTAAAAACCGTTTCTTCTTAACCTCTCTATTACGATTAACTTCCTCCTTCATCTTCTAATTAGATATATTGATCCGATCCAATTACTATCTGCAGTCACTGGCCATCGAAAAACGTTTTTATCTGAATTATCTAGTAGTCGTCGACGTCGTCTTTTGTCTTCACTTATTCGGGAAGCCAAATCGGTCAATCATACCTTACTTCGTTTAAATAATGAAATGCAAGGTGAACTTGCTGAGTTAAATGATCAGCGAGTTAATTTACGTGCACAACTTCAACATTTGGGACTACAACCAGCAGTTTGAAGAATAAAATAAACATTTTGTCTAAAAATTTACTTTCACATTTGATCATTTCATTCTTATTGAGCGATGAATAATATTAGTAAAATCTGATTTAATATGGGGTTAATATCCTAAGTGTCGAACTGTAAAAATATCATTGAAATTTTGCAATCAATTTCAGTATCGTTGTTTACATGATAATAAGTGCAATGTGGCTAATTCTGTCGTAAATTTTACTTTTAGTATATTTTTTCAGCACTGATCGGTTGTGAACGTTTCTACATATTCATAATCCTCAAAATTAGGTTCTTTTTTACCCAAATTTTAAATTGTTTGATCAGTGCCTAAGGTCTGTTTTTCTTAGGCAATATCAATTTCAACATAAACACTGTATTAAGTACAGTTCTACAGAAAAAAAAGGTTGATAGTATGTGTTAGACGTTTTGTATACTCCAAAATTCACTGTACTTCTTAATTTCTGACCATACGAGTTAGTATAATGTTGCTTTGCTTCCTTTTTCGATTAACTTCATCTTCTTTATTTGTATATTATCTTCGCTGTATCTAGAAAGTAGTTGAAGTTTTACTCGAAATTATGCATGTTCTCCTAATTATTGGTTTATTTCTTCAATTTTTCCCGTAATACTTAATGTGGTTTAAATACAAAAACCTTTCTCCAATTTGTTTATTGATTGCCTATATATGTAGAAGTTTTCAAATGGTAGTTTTTCTGTCTAACAATAGATGTAAGTTATGCAATATTGACAGATTGTTTCATTTAACTCTTAAACTCACACCTACTTTCATTCAATAATGACTTGTGTTTTATAGTAATCGTAATTAACCTAAAAGAAACCATTAATTCCAATTTATTGTAGTCGTTATATATCGTGTTTTGTCCTCTAAAACCACTAACCTCTCTGTTTCTCCTGCAAAGTTCAAGTATTCATGATCAGAATAAATGATATTATAGTAGGATTTTGACTCGTTCGTTTTTCATCTGTGATAAATTCTCAGATGACAGTTGCCTGGAATCAAATGATAAAATAATTAGTACTCCGTAATTATTGAACTTGATTCAATCAAAATCTTTCCCTATTGAATGAAAGAAGCTTGGACTAACAGTAAAAAATTGTATGCCAGTATAGCAATTTTGGGATTCGTAATAAAATATCTGGTGTGAAATTGTATATGAACCAGAGATTTAAAGTCGTCCTTAGTCATTCATATGGCAATGTGGACAGCTCGTTCTGAATAGCCGCAATACGTAAAGATGACTGAAAAAATAAAAATAGGACTGCTTAATTCTAAATGTAGCGTAAATCAGTTCTGCTTTTTAATACATATCCTACTTATATTATTGTTGCGTAACAGAGCCTCCCATTTGATAATTTTTGCTAAAATCGTGTTATTGTCGTATTTGATTATCTTATATTCAAGAGTATTCATCACCACGACAAATAAAGATACAATTCCTGGCATGAGATTCTCTATACTTGGGTAGTTTTCCTTAAGTTTGCAACTGAGACAATTTAGCAAAAATCTTACTAGCATTGATTTTGACAGCACAGTTTCGGTTAGTTATCTCATTAGTGAAGTAGAACTCGATAACAAAAGGATGAGCAATATCAAGAATTGTAATGTTTATATTCAAAAGGCGAATAAGTTAATAATATGTGCAATTTTCATTCAGTAAAAAACAAGTATTTTTTACTGTATAAAAAATAACATTTTATCAGTATGTCAGTGTTATACCTGTATGCAGTGATTTCTTTTTGCATTGTTCCGCACTTATTAGGGATTCCAGATATGATACGTTCACTAGTACTCATGGAGTTCTATCTGGCTTAAATGGGACTATTCTAGGGGTTCTTAGTATATCAGTTCCATTATTTCCAGTCGTCATTAGTTAAACAATAGTCCTATCAATAATGAAGTTGCATGACTAATGTAGTGATAAAAACATTCTACGTAAGCACTGAATTGCCTTATTTCCTTTACTCAGTTTTGTATTGCTGCATTTATAGTTTATGCCTCCATCACTTCACTCGCTTCTTTTATCATATAATGCACTTTCAGATCAAAATGTCGAAGACGTTTTCCGATCTCATTAACTGACAAATAGGCGATGATTAGTTGTAACACATCAGCTAAGCTAAAAAGTCTTCTAGGGGGGTTGGATCCTGGCTGAAATGAGGAACGGAACGCCTGTATCAGACAAGGCGTGGGATCTCCAATAAGCGGAGAAGTTTATTTGTAAGATTCTGTTAACATACCTTAGTTGTCATTGCTGAATAGATGGAGTATGGGGCTACGAAAGGCATTTACAAACCTAATGAGGTACTAAAACACAAGCCAACATGACGTACCACCATAATTTAATTATTAAATGAGAACATGTAAACAAATGAACATTGTAAGATCCATTTTGAATGTTTTGTGTGTTGGTGAAAATCCCTCCATGTGTATACTTGCACTTTGTTCTTATTGATCCCCTTAGTTGTGTACTGTTGTCTTTTGATTACATTTGAATTGTTAATACTTGTATTTTTTATTATAGTTTTTGTTTTTCTTACTCATTCACTAGGTTTGTGTTTCTTCCTAAACTGCATCTGTGTTGTTTTACTTGACACTTGTTCTTGGCGATAGCCATATTAATTTGCTCCTCCTTTTGTGTGTGTTCTATCCAGTCAGGATAGAATAACGTTCATTTGTTGTGACTGGTAATTTTCCCTCATCTTCTATCAACTTCTTTATTTATTGTAATTTAGATTTGATTGATTGAACAATTATTGGTTGAATAGCCGGGTGGTAATATTTGTTTAGGCAACGATTTACATTTAAATTTATGATGAATTATAGAACCGCTATTTACCTGATTACTTGTTTTGGTTTCGACGGGAAAGGGCGCCTGTCTAACGTAGCCGGACGGCTAGTCTTCTATCCGAACCGTAGTTTGGATGCTACAAACATGTACACTGAAATGGCTTTACGGTGAAGAAATAATTTTTTTAGTAATAACAAAATTCTTTTGTCCTAAATTCATCACTCAGTGTATTCAGAGACATGGTACACGGGACGCTCCGTCACCCCACAACCAGATGACAGTCTAGGGCATGCCCATCCTGATAGTACGAAAAATCAAAAATCTTGAGTCCAAGATAGTCGTCGGTAAACAGTAGCTACCTGACAATCCTGTCTACCAGTACACCGATGTGTCACTTGTCGAGGCATTCACTAGAATTTCAGCAGTTTGTATGAACCAGTGATTCCTTCGTACTTGGTGTGTGTCTGGGTTTGAATTCCACATACATTACGTTCGTTCGTGCTCACTTTGTTCCATATAGCCTTAAGTGCGTTATTTCTGGGATTCCTAATTCGTATAATAACTCAAATACTTCTAATCATCACAAAGAAAACAGGCTTTTTTCCATCCAGTTTTGTTGCATAACGACCGCGTCATTCATGGTAGGGCTGCTTAATAACGAAGTGTGGGAATATGTAGACATGAATGACATCACTCGTGAAACCTAACATGGTTTCAGAAAAGCCGTCCATGCATGCTCAGTAATATCTTGGTTTGAGACACTAAACAACATACTATGACCAAACCTAACGGTCCGTGTAATGGTTCTCTTTTTCGAAGAAGCTTTCGATACGCTTCTACATTAACTTTCCATATTGAAAGTCTAGGAAACGAGTTTCGCTCACTCAGAGAAAATCCAAAATTTCTTCACCAAGCTGAATGCAATAAAGAGAAGTCTTTAGACAAATAATTTCACAGGGAACTGTTTCAAGACCACTCCTTTTCGTGATTTTTATTCATGAACTTTCAAATCATACTAGCTTAGTGTCCTTCATCTGTGCTGATGACGCGAAGACTTGAATGTACGTGGGATTCGGAGAAGACTGACTGGAGTTCTGAGTCGAGACAAGCAGTGGTCAATCTGCTGAAACTTTACCAGTCAAATGTTAATCGATGATCATGCAGAATCACGTGAAACAAAAAAGCATATTTTCCAGTGAAAATTCCTTCTGAACTAACGACACGGATTACGATGTTGGGCAGTTAACCATAGGATAGCTCCAAAAGGCTTAACATTAATGTACCCAACCATAGATTACCATCCCTTGCTTAGATTAATCGAAACCGATGAATATATCACAGCCTTTCCGCCAGCATTATCACTCCTTATCGCCAGCATATTCCTATCTTGTTTCCTATCATTTCCCTTTGCATGTCATCCTAACACTTCTTTTTTTATCTTGCTTGCCACGTTTGTTGGATAGTTCTCCTTTTTATTACTCTTCACTCTGCAGCGAAATAGCTTGCTTCTCGATAATAGAATAGCTACTGGTTCCAGAACCCCTACAACCCTGTGACTAGTTCATTCACTCAAATTACAAAATATGAAAACCTACATATAACTACCAAACTGACTCGGACTAGAGCATTCGAGTAACTAGTCTCCTCTGAATTATGCGCCACAAAATACCTAGAACCGTACCGAAGAAGCAGAAAGCTAACTCAAGGAAATTACTTGATTTACATTGGTCGGTCACGAAGATATTGAATATTGGATGGACCTTGAAAAGTCGTGCGATTTCAAGCCTGATCTCGTGATGAGTTGTAATTCCAGTGAAGGGTCTTCAGAGAGCGATCGGGAAGGGAAAAAATGTTGCAAAAAATCAAAGACGAAGGAGAATAATGAATTGATGGAAGTAGATGGGTTGGAATACAAAAATGAGGTTTACATTCTCGGTCGATCTCGTCCACTTGAGGATGACGAAGAGCTAGTTATGGATAAAAGTGCTTATAGAATGTTTTTCGAATTAGAAGTGGAGTCTCCAAGTCTCAGTTTTGATATTCTAACGGATAACCTTGGTTTTGATCGCTGTGTTGAAGTTAATGGTGAGGCTCACAGTGTTTGCCTCATATCGGGTACTGAGGCACCTAAAGATAATCAAAACAAACTTGTAATCATGCGTCTGTCCAATATGTTGCCGTTCAAAAGAAAGGTTCGTTGCATCCAAGACTAAAATGATAAATACTAAGTCTAGCGATCAATTTAGTTTCGTTCCGTTAAGGACCTTGATAACTTAAGATTGGTTTCAAACATCCGAATTGCCTCAACTAGTGTAGTAAAAGACTGAATCATTCCGATGTAAATCAATTATGGGTCTTGTTAGTGATGCTATGTAGTGCCCATTTGTTATATTAGTTCGCTCACTGAAAATATAAGGAGTGAAAGTTGCATGGTAGATTCCTGCTCTAACCTTTAGGAAACGACCGTAATAAAGTGAGAAATACGTATAGTTTTTAATCATCGTTGAACTTCCTGGTGTTTTGGAACCTAAGTTTCTTTCCTCTGGCCAACTTAAACCACATTTCGAATTGGAATAGTATTCAACTCTGTAGTGCCACGGTGGCACTGCTTTGCCATTTTAATTTCCCCCTAGGTAACTGATATCTGCGGACTAAATTCTGAGTGCTGTAGTAGTATGGTTTAATATAGCCACAGCAAGTTCAATATCTAGTGCATTTCTGGAAGTCCGGTTTGTTAGTTTCATCCTTCAGTTTTCGAATACTCTTTCAGACAGTTCGTTGTCAGTGTTTATTAATTTGCAGTTTGCATATCCCTTCACAACCCAGTCATTTGCTTGGAGTGAAGGTCGAAGTTTATAGCTAGTCAGTAGGAATATTCACCATTACCTTTTTACCGCTTACTGTTTTTGACAATTCTTGGCTTATTATTTAATATATGGCAGTTGATTAGGTGTCTGGAAACTGGTGGGCAAAAATTTCTTGATAGGGTTAATGAAACAAAAGTGATGAAAAAAACTTGTTAGTAAGCAGATTGCAAACCAATCAGGGAAGTCATTTTGTTATTAAACTAAGTGCGTACCGTGCCAAGAAATTTTAGTTACATGTCCTATTTGACGTACAGTTCATCTATATCTATCATTCTTTGATAACTGGTGGTATAGTCGATATGGGGACTTGACGATTTGTGTTTTCACTTAAAGCTGAGATATCAGAAGATAAAGTGGAGAGCAAATGTCTGTTATTCCTACAATACATAGCGAACCATTTTTATAAAGTAAGCACTTATTTTAGTCTGGTGGACCAACAATTAGATTTGATAGTAGCTTAGTGTATATCCCTGGTGTCGTTCCCGATTTGAATGCACCTGTTGTCTTTGTGCTCTCAATTGTGTTTGGTAGATATTTTTAAAACCCAGATATTATAATGTTTGTGTCAGTAACTATGTGGTTTTCTGTTGCAGTTTAATGATAAATCTACAACTTCCATGATTGTTATAGACTTTCCGCGCTAATTCCATACGATAATACCTTAACACAATGCTGTTCTACCTATGTTTGGGGGATTATTTCAGTTTCATCACCTGCAGAACAAACAGGCTTTCTGTTCTATGTATTTGAGTAGATGTCCTTTTAACATATTAGATTGCATAAATTTATATCGATTTGTGAATATACGTTGATGACTGATTGCGGAAATAATCTCACCAGTTTGCCCAGTCACTGACTATATTTGAAAACAGTAATGTGAATTCCTTCACTATCTACTTACGTTTGGTTGACTCCTTTCCTCCCGTACCTAAGCATTTATGTATGTTAATAAAACCAATATTTCGATACATATAAACATCTTGGCTGGTTTTCTGGATTTCATTTCTTTTTGTTTCATTGTAAGCATAAGATGATTGTTTTCCGAAATTCGTGTTAGGAATATTCATTCCCCTAGTGTAACTTATGGGAAAGGAAATCGATGTCGGTTTAGATGAATTTTTGTGACAGTAAATTATTCAATGTGACCTCTGCTCACGGATATTTTTAGTATGATTTTTGTTCGATAACAAATGTACACGTTGTGATCGATTAACTTAAATGTATTTTCAATTGATATCCTGGAGTCATCCTGAACAGGTCTCAGTCACTAAGCTGGTCTTTTCACCCCAGTAAGTGGGACAGAGAAGAGGACAAAAGCAGTCTCGTTCACTGTATTGAATTCGCAGTCGTGAAACATTAGTATTTATCAATTTGTTTACTCTTAAAATACTACTATAGTCATTTTATCTTATTTATTTGGCACCCACAGGATTCTAATGGAGACACGGATTCTGATTCAGAGGACGAAAGTGATTCTGAAGGAGATCTTGATGCGGAACCTGATGTTGAGGCGGCTACTATCCTACATCAAGGTACAGTTAATCGAGTCCGGGCCAGACAACATAGAGGTCGATACCTTGCTGCATCCTGGTCAGAAAATGGATTGGTTAGCATTTTGAGTTTTAATGTTTTTATTTAGCATAATATTGCAGTATGGTTATTCAGTAAATATACAACTAAGTTTACTCGTTCTCGTGTTGTCTCCTTAAATAAAAAGCCAGTAAAAGCACATACGTAGCTGTCATTATGCTTGATAGAACTTATTAGTATAATACAATTGATATCATTTAGTCCATCAGTCAATTAATTGTATACTCTTCTCCTAGCTCAACTACAATTATTAACAGTAGTCAGTCATGGCACTGAGTTGTTATCGGTTGTACGAAACGTTTTGTTTTTTTGACTGGGTACTCCTTCAGCTTCTATGTATCGAAGTAATTCTAACAATTCTGATTACCACCTTTAACACGAGTAACTTGTTTAGTTCAATTTTCCCAAAAATATTGGAGTTTGTTGTCATTCTATTTGTGATCTTATTTCAAGCTTGACAGATTTGAACAAAATATGTAGACAACTAATTTACTGAACTTAAGTTTATGTACTCAACCGTAAGTCACTTATGATATACAGGCCAGCGATACTATCCGAGTGCCTAAATTGAGGTAAATAATAAACTGAAGTATTAGACAGTTTACTGCTTGAATCATCTTCGGTGTTGAAAAGGATATACATTTATAATTTTATTGTCACTCATGTGCATCAATATAAAGACTTCATTTATTAAGCACGTTTACTTTTCCCGTTTATGCTAAATACTAATCCAAAAACCTTCGACGGAGGAGCTTTTTTAGTTACATAGTATTGTTGTTAACCCAGCAATCAGTTTGCCATTTATGAGTATGAGTTTTCAAATAATCTTTCGATCTGAAAAATATTTGTTGGTTTTAAGTAAATCACAACACTATCTTCCCAGAATCTCATTTTACGTACCAACGATATCAAAAGTTTCGGTGTTATATGTTGAGTAGTAATAAACATAATTAAACGGGTATCTGTAAAAGCTAGTTAACACTGGAAACCACTCTTGATTCTGTTTCAAAAAGGGTTCATGTAGCATTGCCTTATAGAGGAGAATTAAATAGTATAATTCCAAAGCTGAGGCTAAAACCAGCCATCGAAAAACATTATGGTGCAGAATTAGTTATCAGAAAGACAAAACCCATGCTTTCACATAGGCCTAAAAACTGTATACACGTCAAGTCCCGCTGTATGTATGAACTCACGTATTTGCGGCCACATTGGAAGTAGTCGAATGTTACAATCAAAGGTGGTGAAATTTGTGCCTAAGTAGCCTAATGATCAGTCGGTCTCAAATGCGTGGATGGATGCAGGGAGTTGAGGACCATGCTCGTCAATTGCAAAACAGCTAAAACGGGTCTTAGGAATCGACCTTAAAACAGCTATTAACGCTGTTTATAGAAATTATCTAGAGCTCATTCTTGAGTTTGTAACAACTTTGTTTATTAAAATATGCAAACTTTTATGTGTACAGAAACAGTTTGTCTTGATCTGAAATCTGCCTTGGTAACCTAATTCTTTTTAAGGTTAAGGTTGGTTCGACAACTTGTTCTTTTCATATCAGATTATTTTTTTCCCTTTATTTCTAGCTATCATTTTATGTTGAGCGGACGTTTATTTAACTAATTTCAAATTTTTATATAAAATGCTTTGACAAGTATGTGTGACTAGATTTTTCAAAATGTTTTACGCAAAGACATCATATTTTTCAAATGAACCCCGTCTTCTCATCACACTTTCCAAGTTTATATGAGAGACTAACAATTTTTAAGAGAGAAATTAAAATAATTGCCGAAATGTTCATAAATCGTATGTGATCACAATGTTCAAAGCCACCTCAAATAATCCAACTGGCAACAAGCAAAAATAAGATGTTTAATTACAACCTTAACTCAAAGTCTACCAGCTGATTGTCAGTTTTTTTTCACAAGCCTGTTTTTTTGTTACTCTCCATATCAGTTATACCCATGGATTTTAATCTTCATGATTTGTTGATATGTATATTACTCTTCATTACTATGTTGCATTATTACCGTTCTAATCGTCTGAACTAATGAACTGAATTAGTGGTACTGTAAGTAGTTTTTGACAAATTAGTTAAATAAACCTACTAGAAAATCCTGCTCGATTCCCTTGTGCATATTTTTTGTGATATATATATATATATATATATATATATATATATATATATATATATATATATATATATAAAGAAGTTGCTTGTAAAGGTAGCTGGATGACGTAAAGTTTATTTTTCTTTACTTCTTAACCACAATCATTTTCTCTCGTTTAGGTATTCATATGGGATTTAACCAGACCCCTTACAGCTGTAAATGATTCAGCTGTCATGGCTGATTATGTACGTCACAATGAATCTCCTTCACCCTTATTCACATTTAATGGTCATGGTTCAGAAGGTTTCGCTTTGGACTGGGGTACTCATACGAATTCTTCTGGACATTTAGCTACAGGAGATTGTAATGGTCGTATTTATCACTGGACACCTAGAGTAAGTAGGGTCCTCACTTTTTATTATTAGCAGTCGTTCGTTATCCATGAATAACTTTGCTAGGATGTGGTTATATCAATGTAAGGGTTGAAGTTATTATCATCAATAATGCTGTTTATATTTATCGACATTTTTGAATTTTAAGTTTCTATTCAAGTTAGTTTTACGAAACTGTAGGTAGATTATTTATTTATTCATTTTTTTAAACACATAAAGATTGATACAAGGAGGTACCAAACATATATGCTCCACATAACCACCCCGTTTAAAGTTCCGAACATTTGCTTTTCGTTCTCACAGTTCCGTAAACAACACCCCCGCCACGAGAAGGCAGTGAGTTGGACTTCCTTGGCAGTGGTTGTATGCACGTAGCCATGTGAGAGCATTTCGAGAGGGAGAGCTGACTCTCTCCACTCTCGGCCGTACCAAGGCATTGGGGGCGGATATACACACGCTATTTCTGTATAATCCAATACTTTGAATCCCATGATTTTTAAACTCGAATACTTTGTTGTTACCTGAATAATTTTAAGAGGCTAATGTGGGAATACAATCAACATATAAAAGAGAGAATTCTCTAAGTGAGGTTTCAGGTAGGATTGTAGCTCTGTGGCTTCATCTTTTGAGTAGAAGCTTTATTTCCACTACTTTTTCTGTCCTCTTAGTACATTAGTGCGACTCCCAGATTAATAAAACATATACATGGCATCTTTGTTAATTTGTAATTTGTTGCAAACAAAAAAACGTTTCTTAATTTTTTGGTTGTTGGACTACGATGACCTTTCTAGTTATGTGTGTTGGCGGTGGTATGGTTGATAAGATCAATCTACGCATAGTGAAAACTGGAGCAGGTTATGCAGATTTGGCTTCCTCTTAGCTCCGCCGTGCTGTTAGTGTAGCTGCAAAACGTCACGTCTTTAGGGCGTTTTTGACAGCAGCTCCATGCTTGCAAAAACTAACCTCTCTGAGTTTAGAATTTTCGGCGATTTTGTATTCGATCGTTTTTGTCTCTCAAGGATTGCTTACATTCATTGGCTACACCATTTTGGTAACCCAGAAGTTCATCAATACGTGTTCAGGCACAGTGGCGATAACTCAATTGATGTCAACATCCTGAAATCTAGACTTGGGATATGTTTACGAATGTCATCCTTGTGACTTTCACATTGTGCAGGATTTACCAACTGTGGGACTGGTTGTGAAAAGCTGGGAGTTGTTCACTGAATGAAATCGTGCCGTGATATGAAAGAAATTTGTATAGGACTGGACTAAAGCTTCTAACCACACGATTAAGAGATGCGTAAAATGTGGCAATCAAAAACGCAAAATAATCTTGAATATGGTACTGTGATTATGAAAATATATGGCGGGCATGCATTACAAAGCAGAATACGTGAGTTGTCTACAGAATCTATCGTATTAGTATAAATCAGATAAGGATGCTTCCTAAAATGGATATATAAAGGTTACTTACAACAACATAGGATAAACTATTTGATAACGAATAGCTGTGTCGAAACTACAAAGGGAGACAACAATCTAAAATGGGAATGAAGAGCGCTAGAATGGAAACTGTTACAATAAAATAAATGTTCAGTGAGTACACTAGAATTGGAAACAAGTGTTATGAATGTAAAGAACATGCAATGACAGTGATAGATAAATTGAAGTTTATTAGTTCGTATAAATACTTGGATTATTGAAACAACATATATAAGCGAACAATATTTCTTTCAATTAGATCCTCATCAGGACATGCTCTAATATATGGTAATATTTATGTACATTTGCGAAATTATTAAACCAATTAAGGTGGTTTATAAGTGATAACAGTGGAATAGATAGGCACAAACAAATGTAATAAAAAACAAAGTACAAATTGATAGTGTGATGATAAGAATAACAATGGTTTGAGTCAGTGTTTCATTATAGGAAATAGATCAATAACTTGGAAAATATATACACTGAAATAACATTCACTGAGAGTTATAAGACTACATAATAAGAAGTGTTCAGATAATCGGACAATGAAGTGTATATTTGAAGAAAAAAAGGGAGTAAAGAAAACTAAGCGAATAAGGAGTATGGGAAACAACAATAAGTAAAATCTCTTGTTATGGCTAATTCGACTAAGGAAAATATAACGGTGTTACAGATTTCTTATAAATACAGAGGTTTGTTAGCTCGAATCCCCCATGGCTTCTGCTATGTGTAAGGAACGTGATCGAACCCCATAAAGAAAACTAGTAAGAATATGGTAAATCTCTCTGAGTGACTTATTTTTATCTAATTCATGACCGCTATCGATCAAGTGTGGTAGAAAGGAACTGCGTATTGTTTTGACGCTATCCTGTCCTAACAGCGAAGGGAGATGAAATATTACACAACTGTAAGACACATTAACGTCAAAAGATATTATAGTTGAAACTGGTTACTGATTATTAGCAAGTAGTGTAATGTTATGTAATGTAAAGTTTTACACAAAAGAAAACTCAGAATCAACAAGTGAGATTTGTTGGTTAATCACAGCTCTGAAGTGTCCGTTAGTTCAATAGATTATCAGCCATTTCCCGGAACAGAACCTAGTGGTGATCCTTCTGTAGTTTAAGTTCATATTCTTAAATATGAGACGAACTTTTTAAACTAAAATAATTCTGAATTATCTCGTTTGGATTTTTCACTGAACTATGTCTCCTGTTGATTACTATTTCGTTAATTATTTTATTCACTTATTTATTTTTCCTCTCAATTTTGTCTATGCTTTGCGTAGCGCATCCTCTTCTTTATGCCTTACTGTACCAGTTTTTATGACCTTAAAGATATTTGTGTGCAGTTAATCAAGGCCACACAAATCCCAGAATATTGGAATTATCTTTAAAAATAACAAATTAGAAAATATCATAGAAACATTTGAGTGAACAACCGACGCATGTTCATATCTTAAAACTGGGAGTTTATCACCCACAACAGGATGAAATGCCCAGTTTGGATATGATAATCCATGTCAATAAGTCGTTTTTAAACAATTTTGTTTTTTATGTGTAGTTAATAATAAGTTATCTGATATATGTCTAGACCAAAAAACGTTCTTGACACTGTCAACACAGCGATTTGTTTTGAGAATCGTTGTGGTAACAAACACGTCAAAGGACAGTTTGATGGGATTTGTTTAAGAGGCCATGTACTGTAAGTTAGTCGTGTCATTCAACCGACGACGTTTCAAATCATTCCATAAAGTTCAATTTTCATCTTCACTAACCTTTAGTTTTGGAGCTTAAACGTTTTTTACAGTAGCAACAATTTTGATATCAAGTTTATTCTTGGTAGGGAGTTGTGATCCTGTTATCAACCATTATGCCTATCGGTCGAACCTAATCCAGTTACTACTCTCCGGACATCTAAATAGTACGACTATAATTTACACAATTAATCTGCCTCATAATATTGTATACCAATCTACGTGAATTCGTTGATCTACATTCATTTATCGAACATCTTGATGGTAGTATATTATTTTTAGTTTAATACTTTTATTGATTATTCTCTGAAAATGTTTGAAATATCCCTGTTAATTACAGACCATTTACTTTCTAGTTACTAAGTTTTCATGTAAACTTGGTCATAAATCAATGATAAACCCGTGTCGATGTGAAACAGTTGTTCTTCGATGTTATTTGTAGTATGTTTTTTAGGTTGTAAACTTGAACACCAGTGTTATCTGGGTCTCCAACATTTCCAGCTATTTATGCACCAACTGCACATTGCGTCAAAGTAACCAACAAAGGTAAAAGATATTTCCAGATCCAGTATTCGATAAATAATTAGAATCTCAAATTTCTATTTTGAATTGGAATAACTCCACTGTAAGGATCTCCCTGTTAACCTAAATGTATATACTTACTTTTGAAAGAGGTAATTCTCTGACTACAGCTTCGTGATATTAAAAGTTGCTAACATGAACGTTCTTAACATCAGTATGTTACCATATTATCACCATTTCAATTACTCTCCATTCGTAGATGGTATTTATATTCTTCAGTAAGTGATTCGTATTCGAAATGATATTCTTCATCACTTTTCAACTTGATAAATATAAAATTTGTCCATTAATGTTAGTAGTTGTCATATTAATGTGTGGTTGAATGATGGTTCATTATTTTGTTTTTTTCAATTTTTTTAACTTCTCAGTCTTCTGACTGGGCTGTATCAAATAGAGCTTATTTAGGTCATACAGATTCAGTTGAAGATATTCAGTGGTCCCCTACGGAACCAACTGTATTTATCTCTGTTTCTTCGGATCATAGTATACGTGTTTGGGATGTTCGCGCACCAATATCGAGTGGAAGCATGCTTACAGTCCCAGAAGCCCATCCAGCTGATATAAATGTTGCTTCTTGGAATAAGTTGCAAGCTCTTAATTTGCTAACGGGGGGAGATGATGGAACTTTAAGAATATGGGATTTACGATTAGTTCACAGTTGCTACAGTGGCAAAAAGTCAAACTATGGATCTGTACCTGCTTATACGCACTTATTTGATGTAAGTATCACTATTATAAACTTTTTAAAATGGTAACTAGCCACGTATATGTCGAATATAAGCTGTTATAGTCGCAATCAGTAAGTTAAATAATTTTGTTATCTCATTTAACTTGTATTGGATTTTCGGTGTGGTAAACATAATGTTGTATTTTTAAGATAGTGTGTTGATATTAGAGGACTGACATTTTGACTTGCGAATCGTTAAAAATAATCTAATAGTCACTTGTAAAAGACTAAACGGTAAAGCGATGGGTAAATTCTGGCATATAACCGAGTTTTAAATAATATTAGTATATTACTAAGTCTAAGTGATTATTTTCTAGAGAGTTATCACGTAGGTATAATTTGCTCTTTAGTGACACATACAAGGTAGTCAACGTATAAAGTTCCTCATGTTAGTTTCTTACTGCTGACTGAGCTTCGGTTGGAATCGAACCGTGTTAATTGACTCCAAATAACTTCTTTTGAGACACAATGTAAACCATTCCAGTCAAACGAATTGATTTAATTTATACCACGTACATGAGTTATACTATAAATCAATTACTTTGTGAGGGATAATTGTATTATCAGGTTATAAAATCACACGATAGAACTGTGAACTCGTTGCACTCAGATCTAATCAACGTAGAGCCAGAGTCAAACGTACGTTAGCCTAACTCTCTCAGCACGACAAGATAAGAGTAACAAGATGAATGGCAAAAAAGTTGGAAGAATTGCAGTTACGATAAAATTAAGAATATGGTTTGAGCATAAGTAATAAAAAGGCGCGCATGAAAAAGTACTGAAACCCAAGATTTAGAGAAAAATAATGAATAAATGTGGGTCGTCCTGAATGGTTTTGAGCTGTTTGACCCAACGTCCTCAACCACTGACCACACAACCCCCACTTACATCTGTATATGCTGACGTGACTTAGTCTAACAGTCAATGACTTTTATGGCCTGCAGGTAGATTTCTTGAGTTAGTCCTATGACCGTGAAACACAGTCTTGGCGTAGGTGTAGTCGAAACAGGTAAACTGTGTAGTTAATCGTTACTTGTTTCAAACGATATTAAGGAATGCAGCAAATGAAATCAGTGGAAAAATCATTTTTGTCTATAGAAAAATTAAAATTTCGTGATTGACAATTAAGCAGAATATGACCGCCTGTAGACCGAATTGAGTCTACGTGGTAAGCGTTTAACTTAAATATTATTGGTTGATTCATTTATGAGCATAATTTAGATAATGCATTCTCCACTAGTAGACTGTACATTCTGTCTGAAAAGTATTATTAATCCACTCATGGAAAGTCACGGTTTTATTTCTTTTACACGGATTCGCATTAGCTACCATCACGTTAAGTTTACTTTTGATATCTACTAAATTATTTTGTTGTAAAATCCCAGTGTCAATTGTTGTTGTCATAATTATATTAAGATGATGTATTTTGGTTTGTCTTGTAGTACCACAAGAAACCAATCACATCAGTGGAATGGCATCCGAATGACGCTGGAGTGTTTGTAGCTACATGTGAAGACGATCAAGCTACATTCTGGGACATTAGTTTAGAACAATCTGAACAAGAATTAAAACAGTCGAATGAATCAAGTTCAAATCATGAGGCAGATGAAGAAGATTTAGGCATACCAGTTCAATTGTTATTTGTTCATGGTGGTCAAACAGAATTAAAGGAAGCACACTGGCATCCACAAATACCAGGACTAGTATTTACAACAGCATTAAATGGCTATAATGTCTTCCGTACTTGTAATATCTAAAATCATCAGTATTACCTTACGCCGTGTAAATACAACGTGTCTTTCGTCGTTCAATTACTCCATAACCTTTTTTATAAAATAATCTGATGATACTGTGACCTAGTTCGTTCGAAACCAATTTCTTAAAGGCTGAGTATGCTTCACCAGAATACAACAAATTTGTATACAATGATATCGATTTTAAGCGTGGTCAACGTATCTTAAGTTTCGTTATATACTACAAACAATTAGTCTGAAGTAATATACAATCTAGATGTACGTTGGTGTGTGACTTTTCAGAAGTCCCTACAAATGTGTTAGATGTCTATGAAATGAAAATCAATTACCTTCGAGCGATCCAACCAACAAAATTTATTATTAGGTTTGTTTCAAAATAATGTTTACTGTTATTTGGTGGTAAAATATGACGACAGAAAAATACAAACGCACTTCGAGAGATTGTTGGTAAACAATGTACTTTTCACTTTCTTGTCTATAACTCCGTACAATCTGTACTAAGCGTCTAGAATATTTTCCCTTCATATGGTTTATTTATAACAAAAACTATAGTCTTTGGTTTAGAGGCGAGGTCAGTTATCTTAAGAATACTGGACACTGTAGCCTTCATAAAAATATGAAAGTCAGTTTGTGTATGTGTATAAATATCCTTAATTCCAGGAAAATATGGAGATCGGTCTCACTAGTGTGAAGTGATAAGCTATAGGCCTTCAGAAACTCAATCGTTAGGTTACTGAAACAGATGAGAGAATTTGTATGTTTGAGTGTTACTATCGGTTGTAGAAAGAGCGGTGCCTGCTGCGTTAGTACTTGTGAAATCTGACTATGAACAATGATAGCGATCATTTATTGATTACACCACGGGGGTGCTGTTGTGAAATGACAACGGCAGCAAATCCGGATGAAATCATTTAAACAACCGGAACTGTGTTATGGTATGGAGATTGAGGTTAGCCGGGATAAATAAAGTAGCAACAAATTAATGGTTTAATAATATCGAATGAAAGGTAAACGTGTAAAGTGTCTGAAGTGCAAGCCCAATGGAAAAGCTGTGATAACTTCCTTGAGTTTTACTACCGAATAAAATTACATTATTTTGAATTATGACTAGCAATGGAATTCAAGACGGACGTTCTATCCTAAGACCCATTCGTTGGATGCGCCTAAATCCTGGTGTTGATGTTCACCTTCAACACAAAGCGGGTAGTTCCGGGTGAAGAGTCCCTAACAAGTGGAGATGAGTGTCTTGGATTTCACTGCTATAACTGACATATATCGAAGCATCCCTGATGTTGATACGACGTTGAATAATCCAACCCTTGCAAATAATCATTACAATTTTTGCTCATGTTCTTGATGCTTCTAATTCATACAGATTGATTGTAGTGTAGTGGACGCTACTCACAAGGATATTCGTCAGTAGTGTTTATCGGAATGTGGCGTCGAAGTTGTAAAATTGTCGGACCGAGTTTCAGTGCATCAAAAGCACGGTGTTTGCAGAACACCTGGAGGCCAGCCGAGAAGACAGTTCAGATTGCAGAACACATCGGAAGATGCATATAGACGATTGAAAGCTATATGTATTATGTAAATACTTTGTAACTTCTCGCAATAAATGTATATACCTTCTGCCTATTATCGTGTTTTACAGTATTAAAAGTACCTAGGAAGATGGCAACGGTACACACTGAGAACAATAGTCAAGTCTATTTCTTCAAAGCACTCAAAAAAAGGTTGGGTAAATAGAAACAGAAGAATAGTAATAAAATTGCTAACCACAGATGAAGTGAGAGAAAAGTTCCGATTTTCAATATATTGTAAGTAATAAATCCACTTAACAAAAGTGTCAATACATTCTGTGAAGAATAAATATTCAACAATTGGAGTATATATATATATATATATATATATATATATATAATATCCAGTCTTCATCCATCACAGTTTTCGATACAACGCAAAAATTGTATAAAACGGAAATCAACTGCTGATTACAGTTAGAATTGCCCAAAATATCAAAAATAGGCAACACTAAATTGTTCCCAATAGAAATTATTGGTTATGTATGCTTCATTACATATTCACTGCGACAAATAAATGTGAACATTTACGAAAAAATGAGAGGATAGAAAATATGACAAAAAGAAATCACGTTTAGATTAATTTGAATTTAATAAGCTAAAATATATAAGATAGCATGAATACATTTGTATAAAATACAGTATACTGACAAAGTATGCAACAGAAAAAGCAAAAGACAAGGAATGATAATGATAAGATTACATCAGTTTTCATCGTAGCCCTTTGTAATAGTGATTAGGGATCATTAAAAGCTAATCCTTCAGCCGTTTTGATATCATTGAATATAATTGGTGTCAGATTATTTATGTTGCTGATGTAGCATCGGATAAAAGTAGCCCAACTTTCAAATCATCCATATTCGGCAAAACAACTAAATGCTATTATGCAACAAAAAAAGACAGATGGGTTGTGAATATGTAGTCAACAATCATACCTGAATAAGTGAAAGTTCTTATTTGAGTTTTCCAGTAATTTTTTTATATTCAAGTAATTACAAATATTTATTTTTTGCCAATATTTCTACCAAGTTAAGGATATATTCAACAGTATAACTAATTTAACTGAAGTGAATGCTTGATAAACGCTTTATGTAACAAATATAAAAATGGACATTTTATCTATATAGAATCGCGTTACTTCCTGTAGCCCCTCCTCTGCTCTACCTCAGGATACTCTCATATGGCCACTGCATTCTCAAAGCAGGGGTGTTATTTTCGAAATTAAGAGCAAGAAAAGCGAATGTCAAATCGGGTTGGTGGATACGAACATCCATCTAGGGGAGTTAGAAAACCGTGAATTCCGAACCAACGATGCAGCACGTGGGCTCCAGGAATCTCGAGGGAGCAAAAAGCGTATGAACCTAATGTTGGTGACCGGCTAGCAAAGAACTGCATCTCTTATCGTTGTTCCATTGTTAGATGAATTGGACCTCTGAATTAAACGCTCGGAGTGGCTTCATAAGAAAGCTGCCTGCCTCAGCAGCACCGGAGTCCAAACTCGAATTCAATAACTTCTTTGTGTAGTGCATATATATTATGGTGCCTCTTTGTACCAATGTTTATGTTTAAATAAATAAAATCGTGAGTTAATTGTTGATAGAAACTAACGGAGACTAAAACTGAATCCTTAAGATCTGTACTGATGAATATTTGTACCGGCTGCTACGTCGTTGACTTATGTTTCACAGAATCAATTAGTGGGACGTACTAATTTGCTATAAACAATGTCTACTCGAAGTTTCAGGTACGCTTATCCCAACAGTTTATTGTACAGTAAAGTTAGCCGACTACTCATTCACGAACGCCTAAAATCATACACTTCGGGGGGGGGGACATTCAAACGAGTGAGCTGAGTGTTTCGACACGTTAAAAAAAGCTGCTAAAAGCTAAGAGATGGATAAAGGAGTTCTACCACGAATATTCAAAAGCCGATATCACAAAATATTGTTCAAAAAACCTACATTCAAAACAAACATGAAACAGTAGATGCGAACAATTTACTATACTGTGTTCTTTAACACTCCACCGCTAGACAGAGATTTTACATTCAACATAATTCTTTTGGTGTTTACCCATAATTACTGATCAGGATAGGATAAATGAATAAAATATTCGGTCGAAAATAACAAGTAATGAACACAATCTGATACTAGGAGATAAACAATGACCTCTGAACGAAAAATACGCCTAAATAAATTTTATCACCTGGAATTCAAGAATCATTTTTTTTTCAATCCATTCCAATATACGTGACATTGTAACAACTTTTTCTCCAACACGAGGACGTGCTTTAAGTCGTATATTAGGTACAGGACGAAAACCATACCACAGACGATCACTGGGCGGTGGAGGGATATTGACTAAAAGCGTACCACTTAACATTTGTATCTAGGTATTGATAAACCAAAAAAAAACATAATAACAATAAAGCAGAACCATATCGGAGAATTTAGTTTTTATCTGATTACATTTAAAATCAAATGAACATATGAAAATACCTGTGGCATATTGTGATCAATATAAATAAACACAAGATTTGTACAACAAGAAATTGGGAAGAGGATTGGCGTAGTAATGTACACGACAAGATGTGATGTAAATGAGCATAGCAGATTACATTCTCTAAGATGAGATTGAAAAGTGATTATATGGTTTAGGCCACGTCACAAATTTGCCCAGTTATAGTCCTCGATATAGTTGTAGTCTGTTTGCTGTCACAATCGGGTAACACATCAAGTCAAATGGCTATAGATGACTGAAATCACTACTGTTACAGTTGTACGCACTTGTGTTATTAGTTTTTCGTTCTTTTTATTATTTTAAATTTTGAGCAGATATTATTTTCGAATTTTTAGTCTTATAATATATATAGTCACCGATCTATCTACTTCGCGTAGATCCTGTTTAGTATGAGAAGAATCTTAACTGTTACAAAACAATTGAAGTTTCAAGATTTTAAGTTTTTTAGTCACAAAAATATGATTGTTTCTGAAGTACACATTTAAGAAACAAATGTGAGTATTCACTTGAATTTTATGCAAGTTTGAAGACAAAGTCAAATAAGAAAAATGCCCAGCTCGTACTTTTGTTTCTTGGCGAATTGATGTCAAAGTTTTCGATCATGTGTTCATGTTTAATAGACAGATGGACTTCGACAAGTTGTTGAAATTCTTAAATAACTGTTGCCCTTGAAATGTAGTTACGTAGATCGACAAACAATCATGTCAATTCCTACACTACCTTTGTAAGTAAAATAACAACTGAAAGCTTATAAAAGATTCAAAATGCTCCAAGTGATATTCAGATGATAAATACAGCGTATGTTACACTCTCAACTAGAGAGAACATTGATAAATACCTCATAATAAAATAAACTAACAACAACATATAAGTTCACATGAATATTCGTCAAGATTAGAACGAATAGTTTGACAGAAATTGGGCAACGAGTATAGAGAAGTCATTATATGTGAAAATTATATTTGAAATAATCTCAGCGATTGAAATTTAAATAATAAAACTATGGTTTTAATTGTTAAAAATCTATATATTTCTTTGATGATTTTGATTATTACCCTGAAGAAGTCCAGACAAGTTAGCTGGACGAAAAGTTGGAATTATTTAAATTTCAATCGCTGAGATTATTTCAAATATAATTTCCACATATAACATATAAGTTCGTTACATAAAATGGATGGATTTCATGTTAAGTACTTTATAAATAACAAACGTTTCTGCTGTGGCTTTATGGCCTGCCAGTTACCACGTAATTTATTCGCCAATCAAAATACGACTTATTTGCTCTTGTACTATACCAATGACTTTCGTTCGGTCCGATCAGCCCAGCGTCCTATTGGTCATTTCCTCGCCTAGCCCGTCCACTTGAGTCCAGAATACCACCGACAGCCTCCACTATGCGAATCATTTGTTTCAAACATACTGGGTTTATATATCAACCAAACAGACCGCCATGTACCATAAAATGGAAAATAACACTCGTACAAAATATAGCCAAAGGTGGCTGTGAACGTGGGAGACAGTAATTAATAAACTGAGTATAACGTAAGGACAGTAAATCGTACAATCATAATCTATAGGTCAAAACGAAGCTTATAATAAAGGGAATATAGATATATATAATCTAGCTACGGAATAATTATACAATAAGAATATATAGATAATATCAGTCCATCAATAGGTCTCCGAAGATACCCGTAATTTAACCTTCACTAGGATATAACAATTTCCGTATAAACAAGAGAGTAAAATTATGAAAGAACTAATTATAAAGATTTCTCGGATAATAATTAATAACGTAGTTTGTTCTGTTGTGTTCGCTAATTACAAATAACCAACTCATTAAAATATATGACATATGAGTCATTTGAGCTATCTATTAAAAGTTTGAAGTGGTCAGTATAAAGTTACTTCAAACTTAAAGTCAGTTGGTATATATACATACATATAGTGCCTAGTTTCCTGGCTAAATGTTAGGGTAGTCTATATACATGAAGTTAAACCAATTATTAGGACGAATACTTCAGTCAGATGAGATCTTATGTATTAACTGTGAGTAAATACAACAGCAAAAAGTAAAGGTACTACAATTAAGTATGAAATGTACGGTACAGCCCATTGCATTGTAAAGAATAACAATAAAAAACTACCGATATTATGTCACAATTGTTTGTGAAAATTTAAGTGTCAGAAAAAAACTAAGTGATCCTAAAATTAAACAGAGTTTATGGTAAAGATTAAAAAATACGAAAGCATACATCTAAAATATCGTTGATCTATCCAAGAATACGAAAACTGAATTGTAGACTTTTCAGCTTTGATTATTACACATCGTAGAAAATAATGACTGGTGATATACAGTGATGAAGCCTAGATAAATTTTCATGACTTTTTGGCAGTTATTATTGAATTCTTAAGGGTTCTCTGTTTTGACGTGTCACTTGATTAGGTATAGATTGCACAATTTTTTGCAATCCTATATTTGTCAGTCAACAATTAATAAATTGATAGAGTGACATTAAAAAAAACTGAGAATGTTAAAGTCAATCTTCTAATAATCTACATTATCTCTATCTTGTTCAGAGAAAAAGGACATACCTCAACTTGTAATACAATTGGTGTGTTTGACAAACGTTCCATACCACGCTGAACTAGTTTTGTATCAACGGCTCTTTGAAAATATGAGGATTTGGTGATGCGATCGACAATACGTATAATCCTTCGACGAGACGGTAAGACAGGCTGTAAATTTACTGGACTGAAATATAAAAATAATTTATTTAAAACAACAAAAATAAATAAATCGCTTCAATCAAAGTCATACTACTACTACTACTACTGATTGGAATATTATTGAAACATTAAAATCAAGAAATCTGTAAAATGAAATGAATTATGTTCAACTTATTGTATCACCAGGATTTCGGTATAAAATATAAGTTAATTGTTAGTAAACGTCAAATACACAAATTTTAAATGCTTGTTTTAATTTTAGCACAATTATAGAAAAGAATAAAATGGGTATTTAAAATACTAGTTGGTCAGAGAAATGCAGAGTAAAATTTGTTGTGCTCTCTCAACTATGAATAGGTGAACGATCATCTACGCCAAACTACTGGTGACAAATAACGATGTGAAATGACGACTCCGTAGTTTTTAGTCAAAAGACTCCTTTTTCGAGTAGGTCTTACACAAAGTGTGGTTCGAAGCTGAATACATAAACAGATTACATAGAACAGAAGCGCATAAACACAGAGGAAAAGTAAAAACAGGAGGTACAGTTCTTTATCATGCAATAGTAATCCAGGAATTAAACAAAATATTTTCCACTAGTTACATTGTATATAATCATCAAATTTAAGTGACATATGAGATATAGGACCTCGTATACTAAATCTAACTTATCTGAAACGTTTTATTAAAGGAATATTTTTGTCAGAGATATCGAAAGTGTACCAATGATATTACGTAAGAAATACCAAATGATAATTACGGTCACCTCTGAGATGATGATCTGTAGCTCAAGAAGAGAACTTTAGAGGTGCTGTGCTCTCAAAAGTGAAATATGTGAGAATGATGTTGTCCGGAGAAACCGCAAAACATCCATGATAAAACCACCCAGCTTAGAAAACATTATATTGTATTCCCTTATTAACAAACAGAATAGTTCGGAAGTTCTTTTGTAAACAATAATATTATGTTGCAACTGGCTGCAATGTTTTAAACTAATTAACATATATAGATGAACGTTGTAAATGAACAAAGGTTTGAGTCGTGGCAGAACTTCCAGTTACCGACTTCATCATTACCATACAAAAATTCAGAAATTTCAACTTTGATAGGATATCAAATTAATGAGATATTTACGACTGCTCTTATTTTACCAAAGTAACCTTTTACGAATAAACATGACAGTAAATTAATTTTGAATGGCAAAAACAGTCTTAGTTTCTTGTAGTCTTCAAATTGGACACAAAGATCGGGAACTTTCCAATAGCAGTCTTTAAATTACAAAAACCGTTGAATTATTGAGAAAGTAATTTATTTAGTTTGAAAACTACACCATGCAAACAATTGTAAAACAATGTCAAGATGGTAAACTAAGTTATTTGCAGAAAGTAGAATTCAGTAGCAAAACAATTCACATATCTCATAGCTAATAAAACAAGTGCTTATCATACAACTAAATAATTCTCGATATTCAATCATTGACTATTGTACCCACAGGTGAATCGGTTAATAAATGAAATTCTTTTTTACTATTAACTATTTCAAAAGCTAACCAACTGATTACTTTCTGTTGATATAGAAATTTTCAAGTTATTTTAAAAAGGAATGAATAGTTTTAGAGAAGAAATTCTCGTTTTATAAGTCGTTTAGATTGTTTCTTTCAACTGATGTTCACATTTACTCATAAATACATTGATGATGCTATGATGGCCAAATGTGAAGAACGATTGCCTATTCTATAGCCTACATTTTTATTCTTGATCAAATAAATCATATTTACTAAGCTAAATATTCTGTACATAAATAAGTCTTAATTCCTTAATATATTCATTTCGTTAGATGTTCAATGCTTTTCGTCATAAAATTTAGATTTAAGAATCCACCCTGTAGGGAAATTATCGAATTGTTCAACACACTCATTCCAGCAGTCTCAGCATTCCTGACATATTTATGGAAAACATATTATCTGATCCACTGTAACACGTCTTCTATATTAAAATGCCAAGTCTCACAACAGTACAGGAATATGCAACGAACTGTTAAGTACAACATTCACCTCTTGAAAGGCAGACATTTCTACTGCAACTTAAGTGACCTTAGTCTGTAGAAATTGAGAGTAAACTAACTGAAACTGCACAAGCTTTCCCGTAACCACTAACACATCAGAAATGATAAGCAGAACGAGCAGACCTGGTGAACAACACCTGACACATCCATTTCAGTTTACAGTTCATTACACAAACGTATTAAAGTAAGGAAGATTCGGCAAGTTCATGTACAGAGACCTTACTGTATAATTTAGTCGAACAGAGCAAAAACGACTATCCACTGGTACATAACTCAGATGTGCCTGTTCTGTCCCTAAACATGATGAAAAACTTATCACCGCAACGCCACAGGAGGTCGCTAACAAGTTTATAGTTAGATGAAGGGTGAAATTTGCTTACTTACTACATCGGTAAGCCAAAGTCAAGTGAATGCTCACGCTTACGTAATGTATGTAGGTTCAACTAGTGAAGTCTGTAATCCAGACTGAGATATGTTTCGAACATTGGAAGCCTCGAACCATTAGTTTAAAGGGAAGCTTTAGAAGACAAAGGATAATGTTTCATAAGTTCGATAGGTGAGCGTGGATTTCATATGAAAAATAATATGCTGTTAACCAGAATATTGCGAGACGAGGAAGGGCATCATAAGAAAAAACAACTATATGTATTGATTATCAATTTATCACCAATGAAAGTAAGAGTTTTGCGATAACTTATTGAATATTGACAAAACTTACACTCTTCTAAAATAAATAACAATGAGTACAACAAATAATCTAAGAGTTAAAAAATATGTTGAAGAAATCTAAAGAGAAAGAGCATCCTACATGAAGAAGAATATGTAACTCGTTTTTATGAAAACAATATTGATTCTTCAAGTGGTACTATTAATTGTTTCGGTTCCTGTTTAGTTAGAAACACAAACGCACAATGAGCGATATGACACCCGACTAAAGTAAACAAAAACACAATAATATGTTAACGAAGATGCAATTAAAAAGTTATGCATAATTTGTGTGAATGCTTTAAGATAGAATTAAATGTTGAGCAGAAATACAAACGAAACTGGTAAGGAAATAAGATGTGATTATGTGTCTGCGTTGAAGTAGAGAAAGAGAGTTAGTTCACAAATAATAAGATTATCACTAATGTAGTGTTGCTTATTTAGAGATTGGTACATACCGGTTTGGTGAAGTTGGAGAAAGACGATTAAATGACCTGCACAATAATCATACATATATGTATGGAATCAATTAAACAAGAATAGATTAAGTTAAACTATTATCCCTCAATTGATGAAATGGTCTAACAAATAAAAACATTAACTATAGAAAAAGTAAATAAATTAAATTTTTACACACTTTTTATAGTTTCAAATGAAACAATGAGTATTCATTATTAATACAAGCATGCATTTAACAACTTAAGTGTGTATTTATAACTCAATTCCTAAAACATTAAATGTATAACAGAAATTCAATATGCTCTTTTTATTTGTAATCAAAATATCTGAAACTTATTCTGCACTAAACGGGGAATCTAATGTAAAATCACTATATGACAGCAAGGTCAATAGATCGTTCAGTCAATGCAACACCTATTTGTAAAAGATTAAATATTTGTACATTTTAAATGATCAATATTCTGTCTACTCAAAGAACACATTTGTAATGATTTGAATGACATTTTTTATATAACTCAATATAAATAAAAATCTATGAATATAAAACAATGTAAGACTTGATCAGTGAACTAATAATGGAGAGAATTGTAGTAAACTGAAAAATCTAAATGTCAACAATCACGATATTATAATCTAAATCCTTAATGCCGATTAACTTCAAGCACCAAACAGAGAATTTTATTTAATGCTAGCTACTCTACACAGTGTTTTATTAATGCAATTTCGAATGATGACCAGGTAATATGATGAAGTTACGCTTTATATTCAATTGTGTGAATTTATAAGTGCAATGGGCTGCTGAATCGATTAGCGCTTCCTATCTTCGCTCTCTTCTTGTGTATTATTTTATACTACAACTTCAGTAATCAGTTTCAATTGTAATAATTTTTGAGTGCATAGTGTTCAATATTTCAAGTATTCACATGGACTGGTGAACTTCAATTTATCTATCACTGTCATTGCATATTCTTTACATTCATAACACTTGTTTCCAATTCTAGTGTACTCATTGAACATTTATTTTATTGTAACAGTTTCCATTCTAGCGCTCTTCATTCCCATTTTAGATTGTTGTCTCCCTTTGTAGTTTCGACACAGCTATTCGTTATCAAATAGTTTATCCTATGTTGTTGTAAGTAACCTTTATATATCCATTTTAGGAAGCATCCTTATCTGATTTATACTAATACGATAGATTCTGTAGACAACTCACGTATTCTGCTTTGTAATGCATGCCCGCCATATATTTTCATAATCACAGTACCATATTCAAGATTATTTTGCGTTTTTGATTGCCACATTTTACGCATCTCTTAATCGTGTGGTTAGAAGCTTTAGTAAGAATTAACATACGTAAATAAGTCAGTTTTAATAGTTAACTCCATAGGTTGGTTTCAATGGTGATATCAGAAAGAATAATCTACAGACAATTATTTTCATGATAAATTGATTATAACCTCTATATTGCAATTCAATTTATCATTTCATCATAATAATTGAGAAGCAAGCACTGGTAATAATTCTACTCTACTCTTTATCTTCTGTTTTGTTAAATTAACTACAAAATCTGTTTATATATATAAATAAGATTATCATTTCACTTTGTTCAATTACTTGAAGATTTGACTTCTGACTAGTAAAACAAGTCTATTGTTGGTTACATAAAGAAAGTGATTTGTTTTAATTAGCTGTAGCATGTTACTGGTTGAAAGTGGTAAACTCGATCATGAAAGTTTTAATAATTTAAAAAAGGAATATAAAGTAGTAAACTTCAGAAATTAAGATATGTTCATAACACTGAATTTGCTTTACGTACGATAATAAATATTCAATATTGAATGTAAAATGGGTTTATCAATTGCTTTAATAGACCAATTTACTAAAACAAATAGATCTGCTGCAATAACAGTAAAAGTTGAAAATTTTTGATAACTACTTAAATTCGAATTATAGTAAATCATATTTTAAATTAAAGGTCACGTTTACTGATACTCATAATCCAAGCCTGTAAGTAGTGAAGTTACTGACATTATACTTATGACATTATTAGAGCATTCAATGACAACCCCCAGTAGAAACTTGCCTAGCAAGCAATGAACATACAAAAAGACTTGTTTTTTAGGAGTGATGTTGCTTTAAAGGTCTAATTATCGAATAAATTTCACTAAACACTCACGGGAGAAGTCAACTAGTCCTAAGATTCAAAACGTTATAAAAATTGTTATTTCAGCAGTTGTGACAGAGACTTTTATATCTTTAGTATTTTCTTACCGCAGCATATAAAGAATATAATTTAAAATCCATTCTATCAACCAACCAACACAACTGATAGTTTTTACGATGAGATCTGAAGGTCATATGCTCGATCTTCCGTGGGGTCGTGGATGAACACTAATGAGGTACTCATACTAGGACGAAACCGTTGTCTATTGCTTCATATTTTTCAGTGGTTGCCAAAAAATATCAGTCAGTAATGGTGACTATAAAACTCTAAAATCCTTATAACATCCGATAAGAAGAAACACCTTCAAGCGGCTGAGAAACATGAACAGACTTTGTTGTTTTAACTAGCAGAGACTTTTTCCAATATTTATTTTATAAATTATAGCAATCTTTTACCTGTTGTCTTCAGGGTTTACACGTTCATTATCACCGGATTTCATTCCACCTATGATTAGTCCTGTGGATGGTAAGTTACGCCCAGGTCGTAAACTATTTATTGGACTGGAATTTTGACTAATATTAGTTGTTTCATCTAATTCAGAGTCAGTTGTTGAATCAGCACTGTCCTCTTCATCAGATAGGTAAGCGGCCATTTTTGTTATTGAACGAGAATGAACTTTCGGTAGAGATTCATTGGATAGTGAGTTTTGAGCAAAATTATCTGGAAGAATGTGGACGAAAAAAGAAAAGGGTTTGGTTTAATTGCACTTTCATCTTTTTTACATAAAAAAATACTCATGTAAAAGATTTTAAAGAAAATCACAAAGATACATGACTACCTACAACCATATAGTATAAGATTTTGTGTTTTGATAATCTTGGATGGTAACAATTTCAGTTGTTGATTGTTATTGACGCTTCACTTTGACTCTCACTAAACATTTTCATTATTTGTTAAGAGACTCGTCACCCCCCCCGAAAGATCGAATAGTTTCAAAAATATTTACTTATATATCGAATACTAGTTGAAATGAATACTGAAATGTTATTCACAAGTGATCACTCTTTATGTCGGTAACCAGATAAATAGCATTCAACTGTGTTGTTACTGTCTCATTGGTCAAGTTTATTATGTTATCCATGAAAAGCAAAAGTTTAAATTTTAACATATAAGCGCAGTTTTATTAATAATGAACAATTAAGTGGAGAATACTAATTGATTTAAAAAGAACAAGTGTGGCTGCCAGTGGTAAACGTTGCGCACCCATGAATTCTAACCAACTCACTTCTTAAATAAGTGGAACTTTCATTGCAAAGTACATAGAATCAATAGCAAGTATACCGTTACTGATAGATGCAGCTACATTTTTTGACATGTTTAGGGGGAGATTATTATTATTATTAATCCGAACGCTTTTGGAAAATATCGATGACAAAATCAAACAAAAGAATAGTTCATTTAAAAGACAAAAGTACCTTATATTTGCAACTTTATCATTGGAATTAGGGGAGACTGATAAAAAAATTAATTACAGAGTATTTCACAAAAACGCTCACAGCTATTATATCTGTAGTCTTTATCAATAAATCAAATTCTATACAATAAAAATAAGTCAGTTAGCCATATGAAACGTAGAACCCGTTAAACATGTATAGTGCTTCATGTTGTCACACTAAATTAACACAACAATTTGAAATAATCAAGACAAATCCCAGAGAAATAGAATTAATGACAATATGAGTAGCAGGAAAAAAGATAGCTACAAATGGTATGATTTGGGAAAGAATTAGTCCATGTGATTGAAAAATACAAGAAAATTTTGAAACTCAGGACTTAAGAGATGAAAAAGAGTGAACGCACCTGAGCGATTCAGACTGATTCTGAGTCATTTCACCTGAAATATCAAACGATTGGTTACAGAAATCATGTCGTCCTCAACGTAAATTACAAAGTGTAACATTTTTATGGACAGTACTACCAACCACGCTTAAGAGAAGAGATCATAGTAATATACCACAAGGCTTAATGCTATGCTACGAAATTTCACTTTTGAAACACATAACTTTTATGGAAAAATAGAACTAATCTCGTTTAGAAAAAAATAAATAAACGATCGAACCTGATGAATAGGTAATATCTTTTTCTTCACGAAGTTTTTGATTCCACCGCATCAAATTAACCTAAATAAAAAATATTAAACAAACAAAGAAATATGTAGTGAATTATCGAAGCATCCAACACTGAAGAATACTAAAAATAAATAAATACTAGTTCTAATTTACTCAGCTTTGATAAATAGATGATACTTAATTACACATTAAGAGGTAATACGATTCATTTAAAACTGTGGATGAGTGACTTAAACACTTCATTGTGAAAAGTTAGGTTCATATCCCTGCTTTATTTAGATTAAGCGCTCTACTCTAGTTAATCAGTTAGTAACCCAAGTTAATTTAGAAACGAATGTCAATGTAGCTTGTTTACAAAGTACATGTTCATGTCCTCACTTTTCAAATATACTACAGCTGTGATTGCTAATGATATTATCCAGTTGTATACATTGAAATAGATGCAAAGTAATTTAAATTTATGAATTTAATCCTTAAAAGAGAAATAATCACGTTTAGCTCTTGATCATACAAATACTTGGTGGCTGCACTTCTATTCTAAGCCTTTAGTCAAGTGATGGGTTTATTTTATGATTTGAAAAGTAGAATGGAGATCTTAAAGAAGTATGTGTTCATCTATGTGAGATAGGGTTGATCAACTTAAAGAGAGTTAATACCTAGAACCGAAGGACACCTACTACAACCAACAAAATTCCACTATATCACACAATGACCAATTAAGTGAAAGACCATTTCAGTGGTGATTAATACCAATCAATGGGTGTGAAACTCGCTAAAACTGGGTGCTACGTTCAGTCGATTAACAAAAACAATCTACATCATAAATATTGAACGTAATGCATAGTTAGGGAATAAGTAAACAAATAGTTATTAAGTTATGACAAAAGGATACAAAATAAGTTCAGGTACGGAATTTTTCCTTCATATTATCCTAACATTATATGCTGATCAAAGTATCAAGTACATTAATAATAAATAATAAGAATAATAATAATAAATAGTAGAGTAGGAACAAGAACCATATGTAGGACGTTAAAAACTCACAGTTTACATGACACAATAGGTTTTACAAATTTTATTAATTGGTTGTTGAAAACACTCACAGCCATGCACATGCACACAAATCGATAAGCTTATAACAATTATAGGTGAAGACACAAAATAACGACTTGGGAAGAGCTGAGAGAATAGTGAAAAATAAAATATTCTACTAACACATTAAATTCTCATGCATACAAATCTAGATATTTTGTTTCTCCTACTCTCATTTATATAGCTGTCATTTATTTTCAGAGATAAAGAGTATGAAACAATTTGTTTGTTGAGAAAATTAACAGGAAATTGTTATTAACTCAAGATACAACATGGTATATATATAACAGGCTATTATCAATACGTTGTGAATATAGACCCCATGTTAACATTGTTTATTAATGGACTATTGATTTACTGTTACGTTGGTTTTTATGAAGAGATCGATGCCCCTTGGTAATTAAAAAAAAACCAATCAATGTATAAAATGGGTTGAAATACTGTTCAACCTCATAAATCGATGTAAAATGAATAAAACTCACACGAACTAATGAAATAAAAGTACGTCCTAATATAGTTAAGACACATATCTCTCATTGAGTAAACACAAACATTTATATATGTATTATGTACCCTAAGTTTAAACAAATTTGTTTTAGTTATCATGGCTGTGCTTAAAGCATTCGACCTGTAACCATTGAATCCCTTGTTCGAACAACCTTCCACCAACTTTAACTTGGAGAGCTGTGTAGGACCAACATTATTTACATGCAATAAAAGTGTGTCTCAAAGCCTCAACTTTGTAGATGATTTTCTCAACATGAAATCTAGTGCATAGTAATCGTAAATTATGGGACTCAAAAGAAGAAATAATAATTTCAAAATCCTCAAATTTTTCTGATAAATATTTAGCTAAAGCTAAGGAATATATTATCTTGAAAAGGCGAGTGATTTATGAAAGGTGGATTTGAAAATGATCCTGAGTTACGTGTATCCAACGGCTTACAATTCTCCAAGGTCAGTCAGAGGTAAACTGCGTGATTTATATGTATTGATCAAAGGAGTTACACGATAGTTTATTGCAAATACCTAGCACGATAAACCTCAAAAAATCCAAATATACAACACTGGGACTGAACCTGTTGTGGAACTCATCAGCAGCGTTCATTCAATTTAAGAACTCGTAACAAGCTGCAAACAATTAAACAATTTTGTAGACGTTCAATAAAACATATTTCTCTTTTAGTACAGTTTGCTACATGAAGCAACGATCATTTAATCATTGGACTCCACCGGCTACGACTTCCTATTAGAACTCCAATGACTGCTCTTGAAGTAAGTAACTAGTGAGCTCATGATAATAATACTGACACTGATCCGTGATGAATACTGTCGAAGGAATAATTACTTTGTTAAGATAAATTACTAAATAATATTTTATGCAAACTGATCATTGAGTCATATTGAAATTAACATCAAAAAGTGAAATGTTGATTAACAAGTCAATCTACACATGCTTAGTTAGGTAATCTCTAAATATCGAATTAAGAAACTAATGACTTTCTAAAAACTAAGAATCCCCAAAATTCGGACAGAAAATAATCAAAACATAGTACGAGTCCGGAAGTTATCAACATAGCTATCCAATAGAGATTACTTGAAACACACGTTAATGAAACAAAATATAATAATAATAATAATAATAATAATAATAATAATAATAATAATTGCAGTTCATGTTCCTTTTTAATGACTCAGTTCCGAACAGTCTGGAACAGTATGTAGTAAAGGATAGCACCAGGAATTAAATTTCCGATAAAAATTAATAACAAAAACGACTATTACGTCAAATGGTATAAGAGGTAGCTAAATTTAATCCAAACAAACTAATCTTATGGTCAGTATTTAGGCCTAGCATTCAGAAAGCATAAGGGAGCAAACACACACGGCCATGCATCTGTGTGATAATATCCGCGCACATAAGCTCAACCAAATGCTTTTGTTTTGGAATCCGACAAGGTGAATTAAAAATATAATACATAAAAAAGTGAAACGTCACGTGTAGTTGGTGACCAGAGTGAATTTGTACATTAGTTTCTGGAGCTTTCGTACACCACTAGTTTAACATAATTTTTACAATCACTCTAAATAGACACTCTCTATTGGCCAACCACATCAAACACCTTAACATCGGCTTTCATTATGTCAATTTTTTAGAAGCACACATCAAGATGTTCGTAAAAATTCCTTAGGAGAAGAATTATACATGAAACAGAATAAGGGGAGTTTGTGTCAAATGAGATAACTCGTATGTTGAACTGATGCACAGGTAAATTGGTGTGGAGCATGAGATTTTAAACTTTTTACATTCATTGAAAAATGTAATTTTAAAAATTGTTACTCCCAAAGTTGCTTTCCTCCATTTAATTTACTTACACTTGTTTCCAAAGCAAATGAGAACCCTCCAGCATAACCAACATCCACTTCAATCCATAGACCATGTGCATCCAGATAAGGACATCCGATACGTCTTAGTACAGGTATTTCTGAGCCCAAATCAATATCAACGACAGTGAGTTCATTGATAAAATTTGGAAGCTATGATATTTTTGGACAGAGATAAAACAAAAAATAGAATGATTTTAAAAACTATTTGTTAACATGTAAAATTCCTATATATAAATTTCTTAAGCATTAACATTATTCTGTATAATAATTCGGTGGAATATATCTTTGTTAGTAATAGGGTTGTGGGGGTCGTCAAGTTTCATTAAAATTATGAACCGATGAATGTTAGACCACCATTGAAAACCTGGAAGCACTGGATGGCCGTTTCGTCTTAGAATAGGACGCCAAAATATGCTTTTTCCACACTAGGATGAAACGGTCGTCCAATACTTTCAGGTTTTCAATGGTAGTTTAACATTGATCGGTTTTTAACACGATAATAATAAAAAGGTTCAAGTCTCATTAAATATCCTAACTGAGGGAAGAGAAAAGAGATATACTATTCCGATATATCACTAACCAAGTTGTCCTACGCCTAGAAACAAGGAAAAACTAGCATTACAATATTTGCATATACAAATTGGAAAAGGTTAGAATACATTGTTTCTTTCTATATCGTATTACTTAATGATTTCTTACAGTCAACACTGACGTCTATCGCTCATAGAGACGAATCTAAGATACTAAGGCTTTCCAATTAGAGATTATACTTTCCGTTACAAAAGACAAAATACAAATTAGGACTTCTAATAACAATTTAATGGAGGACAACTATCGATAAACGTTACCAATTAATTTTCATTTTTACTATTAAATTAAATCTTATAGAAGAACTTCGGTGATTCCATCTTCACATAGCACTAGTAATAATCTATCAATGTTAATTTGTGATAATTCACAACTACATCAATTATGTTGGAGGTTTAAAAAATAGGCAACTGAAATAATAAGAAAATGTCAAAATACAAATCCACACTACTTACATGTATTTTTTTCAACTTTGCTTGAATCTTATTTTTTATCTTTTCTAACCAATAAGGTTCACGAAGAAAATCCCATAGCAAACGACCAATTAATGCATTAAGCCATATCATATTTGTATCACAATTAATTTGATTAACATTTAATTTTAATGCTTGTGCACTTCGTACAAGCCAATTGGCGGGCATAAATTTAGCCATATATCGGACATATGAAACATAGACTGGTTCACGATTCCCAGGTATTGAAGCGCCATAATTTGAAAGATTTATGCTGGATGAATAAGTGCTATTAGTATTGGTTGTACTGCTTAAACCAGTGGGAGTACTATTGCTATTATTACTACTAATAGTAGTAGTAATAGTGGTAACAACATCAGTATTAGCGATACTGGCAGCTGAATCAGAACATGTTGTCAGATTCGATAATGTATTTCCATCAGGTTGACTCTCATCGTCACTCAATGTGCTGTCGTTGTGATTAGAAATGATATTAGAAGCTGCTGTGGCAGTACCACTTAAATAATCCGGTAAACCAACGTTATTATTACTATTATTAATATCTGATGCCAAAAGATAATGTTGTACAGCCTATAAACAAATAAGAGGGAAACGGATGAGTTGATTTAACCATCAAGTTTATAAAAACAATGTAATAAAGTTCAATACTGAAAAATGAAAAATCATTATTAAAAAACATTGACTCTAACAATATCAAAAGAATAACTTGGTGTTACAGGATTAATTATTGTATGGCTCAGTATAGTGGGCATGTTATAATTTACAGAAAAATTGTAATAACCATTATAGTCGTAAAAATAGATTTACGTTTGATCTTTAGAATATTTATCCGCCAAACCACCATAATCATGAATTTCATAATTAAAAGATACCTCAATAGATTACTGATAAAAATTGGGGTTAAACAAAACGTGAAAATAATTTATTTGACAGTACATAAAGCTTCACCATTACGTGGTGAGGGACGAAAACTGAAAGTGATTATGTGAGCATTGATGATATAGTGACTAATGAAACCAATCTACATATAATGAAAGCAATTGTGACTAGTACCGATTGGGGCTATCTTTTTGAAAAATCCCAATCACATTACAAACAGAACTCGATATATATATATATATATATATATATATATATATATATGAAGAATATTCTCCTCAATAAGTTCTCATCAGGTTCTTCAACTATAAATCCAAAGATATGGCCAAGATCGAAATTCGTTGGAGGAATAAAACAAAATTGCTAAGCTTAGAATTACTTATGGGTAATGATCCAGCTAATAGTTCAATTTGGTGAATGTAAACAAAATTGTTATTTCATTTAAATTATGAATCGAACAATGTTAGCCCACCATGGGAAACCTGGAAGCACTAGACGACCTCCTTGTCCTAGCATGGGACTCCTCAGTAGTGTGTATCCACGATTCTGCGCTCAGGAATCGAACCCAGGACCTTCGGTCACATTCACGGGCGCTTAATCTCTAGACCACTGAGTTGGTAATCTAACAATATCAATGTCTAAGTTTAAACTGTTATTGCTGGAAAATGAATTGTCAGTCATTATCTAATAATCCGTTCACAATGTGAAAGAATTTAGGCATCAGGGTTTTAATGGGGCTTTTGTAATTGCTTGGACTGATAGTTCTAGAATATTTGAGATAATTTGATTGATTAACATATCAAAAATTATCTAGGAAATTCAGAAAGCAAAAGACATGCGAGTTAATCTTATTAGATCGAAATTACAGTTGTATGCCATTAGAATTTTACCAACTTATGCTAGGCATGTGTCACACAGAATAACAAGTATTTTAAAGTAGAACACAGTGATCAGTTTCAGTAGAAAATAATGCAATTTAGACTTTGTAACTGAACATTAGAAGAATAATTTGTTTCAGCTTATCTCAATTTGTGATATAATGTAATTTCATTACTTGGTCACATTTACGTCATATCCATAAGATCACTGACAAAAATTCTTAAAACATCACAAAATGTAATTCCCAAAATGTGGTCTCGGAACTTTTTTTCAAGGTATTATTACGTCACCTGGTCAATGAGATTTATAAAAAATTGTCAATTTGCAATATACCTAAAAAAAATATTTTCTTACCATCTGAGGTGTCCATATAAGAGGTGTGCCCAATGAGGCAGCTTTCAGTCTACGGTACCATGTTTCTTTTTCGCGACATGTTCTTCCAAACAAATATAAATTTTTCATATTTGATTTGCTTGAAGTTTGCAATACATTGATACTAGTATCATCAGGGAACTCCATATCTCCAGCTGAGGGAATAGAGGTATCCATGGTCAAGTCAGAGGATTCATTCACTGCTATATTAGAGCTAGTAGATAATATGATATTTGGAAAGCTCGTCGATGATGGTAGTGAATCAAGTCTTTCATTTTTGCGCTGTAAAAAAGAGCAGAATGTATTTTTCATTAAAACAAACAAATCATCATGTAAACACGAGTGAAACGTTGTGATTTACAGTTTACAAATTCATATTGTTTTCATCATAACATACGTACTTCGTAATGGAATATTTGAATGTCAAGTCAGAAAACAACATCATTTTAATGATGAAGGAAAGTGAAGGAATGTAGCTGACAGGATGATTTGTGCATGGCTATTCTTAGTCATAGAATGATCAGAAGTTATTCCCTGAAACTACCAACACCAGACCAAATAAAAATAACCTACAAATCATAATTTATAGACAAAGAAACTAGTAAATTGAAAATTACAAGAATACACTGGAAGAAATCAAACTACCCTGATGCATTTATGAGTTATTTTCTGACGCAACATTTTTAGGTTTTACAGTATGTAGTAAAAATTCCCTATAGTTTGGGAAATAGCTGTCTCATTTCTGAAACCTGAATCCACAAGGCTTCTTTCCGCAATCACAATACATCTATTGATAACATAAATAAAGCTATGAAAAATTACATAAATAAGTCCCTAACTGTTGGGTCTAGAGATGTAGTTATCAAAACCTCTCTAATATCATCATGTTTCTATTAACTGTTACGGAATACATTTCAAAATAAAACATGGCTAAAATGATTTTCAAACGTTCTTTAGTCGAGTAATTGAGAATTAAAGTGAAAAAGTCTTTAAGATCCAAACAAGGCAAACAGGTATTGACACTAAAGTTACATACAAACAAAAGCGAAATACTTTGAAATAAAGTGATATGGTCAGAGAAACTGATATACAATATAGTATACATTAAGTTCGTAAAAAATATATTCTGTAAAGCCTTGGACAGATTTCATCTACCGACCAGTTCGGTTTGTTTTAATTTAAAGATGTGAAATATGGCCCTTGAGAATATAGAATGTTCGTGGGTTACCAGTATTCAAATATCAGTAACTTCAAAGCATTACTTGAGCATTTTCGGACCAATGAGTGAGGAATCTTAAGGTTAGGCATAAGGTACTAAATGAAGATGGCAAATTGGTTGATGACGCAGTAGATTTTCGTCAACTAAGGAAATTGGGACATGTGTTTCATATGCCAAACCACATGCTAGCTCGAAGAGCGATGTTATCTGATCTAGGAGTAGGCTGGGATAAAACTGGGGTCGGTTAAACCAAAATATGGCGCCAGTCCATGAAGTCATTGTCAAGTGAACTTAGCTATGTGAGTAGGTGTAGACTACCTGGTTGGGGTCGACATGATTATTATAACCAGTGATTGGAGACTTTGAAATTTCATGGTGCAGGTGCATTCAATCTTTATCTTTCCCTGAGTCCTGAAACCTCCTTAGACCCTTTTTTCTATGCCTAATTTATTATATTGCTACTGATGCTGTTACTACTCCTACTACTCTGGTATTTGCCTTGAAATAATTGTATCTCCCTATGTGACAGGTTTTACGTTGCACACAACTGATTGACATAAAGCAACGTGTGGCGTAATATGTACAAAAAACAATTTACAACAAAAGATCAATTATTGATAAACATAACTCTCACGTTAGCATTTACCTTGAATCTACCTTCAGTGTAGACGGTGATACAAATAGGATATTTTCTACTCCATAGACGTTTGCCGACTAAGCCACATGGAAGGAGTGTAACAGTTGCATTAGTTAAATCATAAATATGCTGTTGTTTGAATCGCATAGTTGTAGTTGATGGGATTTCATCATTCCATAAAGATCTACGAGTAATATTATGTTCTGGGCGTTGTAGGCGTAATTGTGTACCATCAAGCGTGAGGAAGACAGAAAATGTTTTGCCAATATGATGAGTTTCAGGATCATAATGAATAATCTGTAGAAAAAAAAGATACACATACTATTTGGTATAGAAGGTATATGACAACTTTATTAAGGGAAAAAACAGATAAATACTTCGTACTTATTTCATTTGTTTATTTAAAAATATAAATATTGGCACAAGGAGGTTCAAATATGTGAGTGTCACACTTTATCATTCGATTTGTGTGAGGGCTGGGATAATACCCGGGTGTCCAAACCGTAGTAGGTGGTTTCCTTAAGGGGTCATCACACCCGGGCCCTTGACCTGAATGTCTAATCCATGAGGCAGTGGAGCAACGTCAGGAGATGCAGTCCCATGGTAGCCGGTGACCAACAATAGGTTCATGCTCCATTTGTTCTCTTAGGATACTAGAGCCCATGTGCACTATAGGTTTGGAATCAGGGTTTTCCAACTCCCCTAGGTGGATCCTCCGTATTCACCAACCCAGTTAAAGTGCCGGACATTCGCTTTTCGTCCTCACAATTTCACAAACAACATTCCCTCCGCGAGGAGGCAGTGAGTAGGACTTCTCTGGCACCACTGCCAGCATTTAAACGTAAACAAATGTCTATTGACGTATGTAGTACAAATGTAAATAAACTAATGGAATTTTTTCAAAGATTAGGAATCATATTGACTTGCTCAGTTCATGATTAGCAGCATTATTTTTATTAAGCTATTACTTGATGAGCGTTTATTAGGCTAGTAAAGAATCTATTGCCACTACCTCTGTATCGATCATTCAAACTTCTAAAAAACTCCTTACTGTAAATAATTTAAATCCATTTAGCGATTTTTAAATGTTACAGTTTTTAAGCAGTTGACGAGAATCAAAGGAAATAAAATGAGCTCATGATATACTGCTCAACGTTTTATCTCTGCTCTCTTTAAGCTGATAAAGGAAACTATGTGCATGAAATCAATGCAGTTGTTAAGGTCAATGTTTCAGTTATTAAGTCGCAAGTACTAATCATGCTCCACCTAGAATCATTAATTTTCACGATAAAATCTATACCTAAGTCTAAAATATGAACAGGTATTTGTTGATCGCCGAGTTAGTTTGTGATTAGATGAGTTTGAACACTAGACAACAAAAAGATAAGTTGAGGTGTATCATTTAGTGAGTGAGTTATCTCGATATATCATTATGTCAAGGGTTCGAAGTGACAGGTACTGAATTTGAGTGTCAATGTAGAGATCAACACTGTAATGAGAGTATATCCGATTGATGACTACCAAAAAGGCTGAATACCGCGTACTGAATTCCACTGCCAACCACATACTAAATATAAATCCATATCGAAACAATCCATCCACCACAAATATATGAGGACAGAGAATGATCGGTTGTAGTCCTGAATATAAACGATGGAAAGTTACACGACATCATTAACGAGATTACCAACAACTGATAATGACATAAATTAAGAATATTAGTTATCACATCAGGGCAAATTTGTTTTCTCAATTTATTAATGATTATTTCCCTGAAAAGCAAAACCATGATTTTCTATCACAATGAAATTAATTGTTAGATTTATCGTAACAAGTGATTATTGTTGTTTGTAGCTTATGTTAAATTGCTAGCAATAGGAGCTTTTATAGCATATACTGATGATGTCTAGTTACACATGCACATTGAGATTAATTTTTTTTTCTAAAAAATAAGGGACTTCATCTATTCTTTTTTTCTTTCTTTCTATGAAACGTATTATTTCATTGATGACACTTCAAAGTTGAATGTGCCAGTATATCAAAAGAACACTTATCTAATTTAAAATTTATCAGTGGTGAATACATGTTTTTCATGAGCTTTAAAGCGACTATAAATTAAAGAACTAGGACATTTATTATGATTTGATTAAAATGATAGTCTTTATTTTCTTCTAATAACCTACCTCATTTAACCATCCTTTGTATACGGGCCGTCCATTATTGTCATATTTAAAACCTAAACTATTTCCCAATGGACCTGAGATAGTTGATTTGCTAACATCTTCTTCAAGCATATTTGGTACAGTGAAATTAGGCAAATTTCTTAACTGCATACATTTATTAGTACTGTTCGCGTTGTTAGTTAAAATAGAAGTTAAATTTGGCATAGCAGGTGAATAGATTGGCCACCATTGTGAACCTTGATACTGGCCCTCTTGTTCTTGTCGATAATGCAGTGAACAGCATAAGTGATCTAATGGCAATCCTGATATTGGACAGAGAATTTGATTAGAATAGTTTGTACGACTATGCAAATAATTATACACTGTAATGAATGTATATGTTAGTATACAACCAACAGTTAGACCCAATAGAAAACCATTAAAAAGCCAATAAATCAAAAATACTGTCAGTGAACAAAATGTATAACGCATCCATGGATGAGATCTGTTAAGAAAGTAAAAATAAACAGAGATCAGGATTTTAATCATTCAGATAAACACATATAGATTTGTGTGATGAAAATATATTCATATGAGAAAAGTTATAGCTATAAGGCGAAGAAGTACGGAAACCGTATTGAATTTAATCAGAATGACAAATAGCATAGATACAAGTAAAATAAGTATAGAATTACAATGGCGTAAGAGATACATTTTTACTACGAGGTTGATTAAACAAAAAGTAAGACGTCGAACGGCGAACCAGTTCTTCAGTAGTAGCTTAACTTCCAATCTCTTCATTATCACCGACCAAATATTAGTCAGTAAAATATCTCCGGTTGCTAGGATGTTAAATGAACAGAATTAAAAAGCAAGAATACAAATTAGTTCAATAAGCCACAATTCAAATAAGAACAGAAAATTGGGTTTAATAAATAGAAAGTTAGAATGAAGGAAATTGAAGATATTAGCAACATAAGACAATCGAAAATGGTCGCGCGATGTCGCAGATTGATTGAGGTTGCGGCTTAACACAGGTAGATACCCGCTCGGTGGTCAAGAGACTAAGCATTTGTGCACAAAAGCGAAGGTTGTGGGTCCGAATCCTGCGCGCAGAATCGTGAATGCACACTGCTGAAGAATCCCATATTAAGATTAAACGACAGTCCAGTGTTTTTACCTTTTAATGTTGGTTTAAATTAAATCGGTTCATGATTTCATAAACCGAAGAAGCAGGTAAACAACGAATAGTAATACGTTTAAGATCTGTAAGAATATTAAAAGGTGGGTCCATCTGCATGATGAAAAGATAAATTCATCAATAATCAATATTGATTTTGTCGAAAAATTCAATCAAGAAAATTGTACTTGTTTAGAACAAAGACAGGTGAGTGTATGAACTACAAGAACACTGTTGACTAGCAACCTTAGGACTCAGTCAACCGGTAGTAATGGTCTACAGCTATGATAATGGCTCAGACTAGTAGTCAACAACTTCATGGACCAATCTTACTTCTTGATTTTCCCGTCCCCAACTTTCAACCTATACTTACGCCAGTATCACACATCGAGGTGAATGTGCATATACAATACATGAACCAGCCATGTCATCTCATGAATATTTAAAGCCTCGTCAACTGATATGACATAAAATTATAAGCTAATTACACCTTTGCTAAAGGTTATTCACAAACATTCAGTGATTAAACTTAATTAATAAGCTAATTACGTAGATCAATTAGGCCAGACAAAGAATAACATAACTATTATTATTATTATTATTATTATTATTATTATTATTATTACTATACAAAGATTTCCTTTGAAGTAAATTTTAAAACATTCGATATAAGGTTGAAAGCTTTCAGTTGAAAAAAATGGAAAAAGAAACAGCTGACTATAACTAATGCTACAGTAACTAAAAGCAATACAATTTCATTGACAATGAAATACTTCAGTTGTGGAAGAGAAATGACAAGAGCAAGCAGGAATTAGGAGAAACACAAGTGTGACGATAATAATAATAATAATAATAATAATAATGTGACGAGAGTTGGTAATAGGGTATGAATTGTAACGATATCAAGACTAGGCTTATGGCAAATATAACTTTTAAGGAAATCAGATGATCGGTTCTTTTTTTTCATAAAACTAACTAATTTTTTTCCTGAAACCTTATTATTTACTAAAGTACACATAACTTAATTGTACTTTGCCTTAAATTAAAATTTCATTTAAATTACAGTAATTGTTAATAGTAAGTACAACAAACTTTTGTAAAAACGTCTAAACAGTAAGTATATTCATGTATACAATTATTCCGATTAAAACTTAAAATAAAACACTCAACAATCTTTTACCATAGTCGATGTAACAAGGGTGTGAAGTCATTTCTTTACCATAATAAAACAATCAGCACAGATAAGAACAAGAACTGTTCACGGTTAAATGAATTTGAATAAATTAAATTGTACAACCTTTTATGAAACTTGTTTAATTATATCCATTTCAGTTGTGTTAATCTAAATAGTATTAAACAGAAAAATTTACTTCAAACAATTTACATCATTTTGACAAGTATCTCATAGATAAACTAGTTATAAGTAGGAATATACATATAGAAGTTAGTAGAAACTATAGTCATAGTTTATTAAGATGGTTTGATGAAGATTGTGTACAATTACAAACTAACATTGTCTGAAATCATGATATGTGGAGTCAACTACATTGAAAATAAGACAGAAACTAACCTAATGATATTGGTAGCACATAATGTTTATTATATGACAAATGTACTGAATTTTAATAACCGAACATTTAAATTTAGAGATAACTGTGGAAAGATATTATGTATTTGATGAGAATGGAATGTTTTGAGTTTGATCGAATACAAAATCGTAGATGTGAACTGTTGTGGTATCCAAACCTATGACGATACAAACGGTCGACGTTTTACTATTTTCAGTGGTTTTCTACCTGATGTCAGTTAGTGATATAAATTGCCCTTAAATGATGGAAAGTGTTAGGGAAACATAAGTTTAATGAAGAACGAACACTTTAAAAGGTGGCAACTTAAAATTTTCAAAACCATTAATCAATATATTGACGATAATAACTTAAATGTAACATTCTAAATGGTGGGTATGGAGTGGTTACGATGAGCGTGTGCAAATTCATAAATTTGACTGTTTAACTTTATTCATGCGTCCTTTATAAACACTATGTAATTCATGTTACTAGAAAAATATCTTTACGGCTAGCCTGGTCAGAAGAATACAATGGTGATAGTAATGTTCAGACTTTGAACTTCATTTATCTGAAGATTTGACATAATGGTGATCAATAAAATCTTAGTAGATATTTGGCAATTTGCGACACTTGTAGTTTCATGAAGATAAAGTGAGACCCATCAGTTTGTGTCAAGTCAGAAGAGTGGAATACGATGAGCAAATGTTATAAATAGCATAAATCTAAGTGAACTAAACACAGAAATACCCATCGCATGACGTAAAATCACCTAATCAGTTTATTTGTCTTAAATATCCTCAACCAGAAAAAACTTACTAAATATCGTTGGTTTTTCCTCTTTTGCTTTAAAATATTGTCGGGAAACGCATTAAGTATAAAGATTGAATAAAAATATTCCCTGTTCTGCCACGACAGAATTTCATAATAATTGCCATTTTGAACTTAAACCTTTTACGCATTATTGAATAAAACCTTATGAAGGTCGTATGCTAACCGGCTTATTCTCGAAGGAACGTCGAAAACGTTTTATAAATACATATACCTTTCTTTCTGTATTATCGGTTGGAAAAGAAATAAACCTTCGGCTTTCTCGACATTCGTGGCTGGATCAAAAGTTATTGGCTAAAACTACAAGTTCGGCTGAAAAAGAACTTTGCATTGAGTTTACTAACTGCATTAACTCAATTTACGTAGCTATAGACAGGTGACAAGACATGTATTTTTTCGTTATTTTGTTTTAATTTACCAAGTATGTCAAGTCTTATACTGCATACATAACTCACCTAGTTGGTAATTAATCTGTCAACAGAATATGAGTAGAATGACTACATATCACATATGACTAAAAAGAATGTATAAACTAGTTTTAAAAAGTTTTCTTAGAAAACAAAATACCTAACACTATTTGACAGAAAAGAAGTTCAGAGCCAAAATCGAAATTTGAAATTAAAATATTATTTGTGGATTGAAAAATTACGAGGGAACAGTTGAATATAAATCATTTCAATAGAGAAATCTACACATTAACTGTAATGATATTTGCTCATAATTATAATAGATATATAATTTATGTGTATGATTTATTTGACAATTAAATTATTAATTCATAGGCTTACTTTTTAACCACTGATAGACGATGTGATTTTGATCTGAGCACCTTTGAACCAGTAGCACCTGGTATAATATTGCTATCAATTGTGATAGTGGTATTAGTAGTAGTAGCAGTAGTAATCGTAGTAACATTACGTTGTCTGATTTGAGGATTTTCCGATAAAGTATTTGTTATCGGAGAAGGAGAAGAATGAAGAAGAGGAGCATGAGAAATGGATGCGGAATTTCTAGTATTTGGTGTAGAAATGGGTATACAAGTTGGTTCAGTAACTTTATTAAAAATTTGATCGTTGCTATCAATTGCAAGTGTAGATGTTGGTGGTGATGAATTCATTTTCAGTTTTGATGATGATAAACATGGTGGCGTAGGATCGGAAACGTTCCTCGTTTTCTATATATATATATATATATATATATATATATATATATATATATATATATATATATATATATATAGAGAGAGAGAGAGAGAGAGAGAGAGAAGGAGGGAGAAAAAAAGAATACAAATTACTAGAAGCAGGTTGTATGCATTTGAAACATATTTTTAGTGAAAGTGGAATGATAAATAATCATTAAAAAGTGGTGTGGCATTAATGAGCGTTGAACAAACAGTAAGCTCAGTAGGTAATTAGCTTAGAATGCAATTTTGTATGAATGATAGAAATGACATTCATTTAACAAAGGCAACAAAGGAGTACTAGTGATTGTATTAACACACTTGCATAGTCAAGACATTTTCTTACGTATCGTATCAGCAGTAGATTTGTTAATAACATTGATAAATTCATTTGGACACAGTTAAAGAAGGCTCTAAAATCGTTGACTGCACAAAAATAATCATTAGGAGTTAGGAGAGAAATAAGTTAACATTTTATATAGGCAGTTGGGAAACAGGTATTATTCGAAATCAACTTAACTAAATTAACTGATTTACCAAGTCTAGATTTATGTAGTCAGATTTGATATACTCTTTATTTGTGTCAAAGTCAATAACACCATCCAACTACCCGAAGTAGGCGAAGCAGAATTCTACTATTGCCTACAATTTACAAGTAATAACAAGAAATTTCAATAAGTTTCCACCTTTAATCTCGTAGTCTATATTGTGTTTATATATTGATAACAAAGTTTCCTTGTGCAACTGACCATAAAAATAAAAATTGTTCGACCCGTCATGGAACAACACATTTCTTTTTTGAAGGTTTCCAAAACAAAAGTAGGTAGGGCAGGTACTTTAACCGTAAAGTCTACGAATAATGATTTAATCAACTTTATTAACAAATATAAAAGATTGTGATCAATTTGATGTCTGTGTAGACCTGTTTACTTTGACGACAGTTATCATTACTAACTGGTATCAATTGATGGAACGCTAAATATCAGGTATTTTGAAATAATAAATTTATTTAAGTACGAAAGGTCTTGATAGGGTATCCAAAGATCTAATAAGTGACCGGACCCAACGTAGTAAATCGCGTTATGAGAGCACCTCTATTAAGTTATAGTGTTGAAACCTGATATTTGAGATTAGTGCCAGACCCTGCATAATTTTTATGATTGACTATTAGTTACATTACAAAGTATAAATCTAACTTTATCAGGATAAAATGGATTTTTCGCGAACATTTATGAAAAATAAACATACGGTTATTACCAGCCTTCACTTGATTTTAAGAATAACGATGTTACAAAGTGATAAGAATTATTTAAAGATTATACTTCGAAATTTGCTTACATCAATATTGACATTTATTGGTGGTTTAATTGAATCATTAGAAATAGGAACATGAGTATCATGTTGATTACCCATAACAGAGTTGACTGGATTACTGGATGTATTAAACGACAAAGTGTTGATTCTAGATGGATTAACCAAAATGGTAGACGGTGTTGTTGTTGTTGTACAATCTGGAGTCAAATTAGGTAAAACATTTGAATGTAAGTGAACATTCAAATCTTCATCTAACAATACAGTTTTTAATGAATTACCATCTACATTTGATTTTAATGAATGAACAACATGACTACCGGCGGACGATGATATATCCTTTGAGCTGAAATAAAAAGAGTAATAAAAATGAACGATCCAGTTAATGAAATTATTGATCACCGAAATCAATAAAGAATATCATAGTACAGTTTCATGCCCTTGGCTTCGAGGCAAGCTTTATGTGTGAGTTAGTTACACTATATGGTTGTCCACGAAGAACCTGATGGGGTGACTTGGTGGTTGAACGTCAAACGTTCGAACCACTGAGCCTATGCTCAACGAAACTACTTACGTTTATTGAAATAACTGGTATATGACTATAGTACTAAGTACAGAATACATAATGATAACAATAACACAAGTAATTCATGCACAAGACATGAAAGTTCAGATAGGCAAGTAAACTAAAATTGTCTTAATCGCACACAGAAACTGACATCTGAATGATACTAGACAACTATCAAAACTGAAAACGATTGGATTTAGAGGCAGAAAAAAGAAAAATATAAGAATTACAGAGTTCATTGCAAGTCAATATAAAAAACTAACAGTCTTATCAATTGAAAACCCTTCATTAACTCCACAAAAGAAGGTAGAAAAAGAAGGATATATTGGCAGATTTTTTATTAATCGAAGATACTAAGTAAAAAAGCATAAAGAAAAAGACGATCACTCTAAAGAAAATGTAAAAATTTGTAGAGTGTTTTGAGAAAGCATGTCCATCATTCATATTTGAATGTAGTTCAGTAATATATACTTCTAGTCTATTTGACCATTTTTCAAAGCGATCATACATTATAACTAATACTACAAAGTAGAAGTGAACGAAACTGTATGAATTTTCACTAATTTGGGAGTATTAAACCAAATCAGTCAGTAAAACCTGGTTAGAATGAGTACATCATTTTGAACTGAAAATTTACCAGTACCACATCAATGATCCCAATATTAAGCATTAAAAAAAAACTACCTACTCTTTGAAACATCCTGACTTGAATGGAAAACCACCTAATGACTATTATAGACAGAAATCGAACCAATTATATTCTCAATAGCAAGTGTATTCATACACCATCCATTAATTTTAAAAAGATTTCAAAAAACCTTAATTATAATAAGATAAATGCATGACAGACTACATTTTTAATAATAACTATCGATACATCCGAAATAAAAAAGCTGATTTACAGTAAAAACAGTACAATTGATAAACTTAATTGGATTTTATACCAGCACAATTTTAGTATGATATCAGAATAGATTATCTTGTCATGAAGAGTCATCTAGAACGTTTAATACAGTAAATATCAGTTTAACCTACTGTAGTTATCCTCTTATATACCTCCATGTGAAAGATAGAATCCCATGACAGACCGATTTAATGTGTATATATACCAGCTTACCTACTCTTCTGGTACATAAATCCTTTGGCGATACCTTTTCTTCATCCTATTCGGAAACAACCATAAGCATAACTCAGCAACAGGTTAGTCATATCATCTATTCTGTAACATGTAGTAAATTAAGGATATTCAGCTTCAAATTCATCCTTTGGCATCATTTACAAAATCCGGTTAGAGGTTCTGAGAGATGTACCTCTAAGCCTAATTTACCCTCCATTTTTTTCTGGACATCAGTTATCACACTAAACGAAATGATCGCATAATCTCCACAATGAGAAAGTAGCGCCAGTTCTCGCAATAGTTAATTTGTCGCTTCTTTCGATCATGGACTCAAGATATTTTGTTATTTGACAAAATATTAACTACAGTGAGACTATATAAAATAGCTATACTAACTCATAACCATAAATAAAATAACCACACTTTTTTCAAGAATATAGTGGGATAATGATGAATGGAGTGAAGAGGTTTCGACAAACAGTTTGTAGTTCTATACTGTAGACTGAATGTTTATCAGATTCGGCTAACAATGACTTTAGATGAACCTCATTCCCTTTTGATTAATAAAATAAGCTTAATATCAAGAAAATACTTATCGATAAAAGTTCATATGACTATACTCAGCGTCTTATTCTCCATACACAGTTGTAACCTCCATTATCCGTAGTAATTTAAACAAATATTTCTAACAACTGAAAATTTTATGACTTTCTGGATTGACATCGGTTAAGAAGCATGATTTTTTTTCAAATACTGTCAAATCATAAAGCTGTAATAGATAAATCTCACTTGAGAAAAGAGCATTTTTTGTGTGCCCAATATAACCATAGCCACAAGACCAAGAACACTAGCAGGCACACATTGATATGGCTGAAAACGGCAATTTATCTTTCATAGATCATCAAATAACGCATCCATCAGTTTAATTGTTCTTTTAAAAATGGTTATATTGGTCCCTCCTAAGTCATATTCAACGAATGCTTTGCATTCTTATCTAAAAGAGAATGCGAACCCCGCTTATATTAGAAATTTCAGAGTATTTGGAAACATACCGTATGACTGAATTCTAATTCATTACTTAGTATAACTGCTAAACTATGAAGTCTGGTTTGCATGATGAAATTATAAACCATTAAAAAATAGATTTAAATTTCTGAGTTAATCCTAAGTCATCAATTTGTTGTACTTCAGTATTTAATACCTGAGAAATGTAACTTAAAAAATGTAGACTATACATTTCAGCAGTTGTTAAACAAGCATTTGTAGCTAGTAGAAGATACAAACAAAGGTTGATTATTAAAAATTTGACATAGAATATCTGAGTGAAAACATTTCAATTTGCACACAAGTTGTTAGGATAATTGCAAAAATTAGTTACCTCAATGTGTAGTACTAGTTATTTAATTCTTTATTATGTATAACTGGGGAACTATATTATAACAAATAAAATCGATAAATATTTTATTCAATGATGTAATTGACTGATTCTACACAGATTATGGTAATTGACTATCATGGGTGACGCCGTATAATCAACGAATGAAAAGCGAGATTTGGAGAAACAATTCACACAAGGTAGTAAGGGGTCAGAACTTGAATTCTCTATCAACTGGAATATTACAACCTGAACAGGTGTATTACAACTTAAAATACAGATTCAAAAGACAAGTTACTAAAACGTTTGCACTATTTTCATAGGAAACTTAATTATGATTAAGATATAATAGTAAGCAGAAAACGGTAAAATAGTCTGTCAGTTACCAATAATGTAGGACTTCGTCTGGATATGTATTGGTTCCTGTTGAAAAATTTTGTATCAGCATAATAAGAAGGGGAACCACCAAAAAATAAACAAAAGACAAAATGACTATATCTACTGCATTGGAAAGTGAAGCATAAAGTATAACTTAAATAGGAAGGATGAGATAGTGCAACAAAAGTATGGAATGGTGTTCAGCTTAAGAAAGGATCCAACTACGTCACTGAGCCCAGTTTTGAGATAAACCCTGGAAAAGATTCAACCGTAGATTGTGAGTACCGCGGAAGCTCCAAACAGGAATTCCACATTTTACTACACAGCTCAGTAGACATGGCCTCAGCTCATCAAAGTTTACTGCCTTATCAATCAACTTATTATATTTGCTTCTAATACTAGTAATCTATACATACCCTCAACTTTTATAGTCCATATTTCACTCCCATAAATAAGTACAGTTTAAACCGCTGTGCGGTATACTCTGAATTGGAGAAACACGAGGGCATTTTACTTGTAACGTAAGTGGAGAAAACTGGGAAACAAGTGAGCAATTTATTTATCTTAAAATGTCACCAGAAATCAACGCATCAGGGTTGACGAGGCCTCCAAAATAAGTGGATTGGATAACACGATCCACTACTTCACTCCCTATGAACGGACGAGTCCTGAAGCAATAATTAGCGTTTGAAGAGAAACTTATCCCAAAAATCCCTAAATTACTATTCAACGGATTCAAAAGACTTATTTATTATTTATTTGAACACATATATATTGGTACAGGATTGCGCCAAATATATATGCGCCACACAAAACAATGAGAATTTAAGAAGAAAAAGAAAAAAGTGGGGAACGTAAAAAAGATATTTAATAAAACAATAACGAAGAGATTGGTGTAAAGTAGTGTAATAATAATAGTAATAGTAGGGGAACAGAAGGGTACAATCAGAAGAAACCCTTCAGTTAAGGAAGATACAACCACGTTTTATGAAGAAAGTAAAAGAAGGTTACAGCAGGATCGCCGCTGGCTTCTATTCTGAGCCATATCTGATAACGTCTCTAGCCACTGTGTTGCACCATCTCTCAGACCCCAACCAGGGAGTCGTGAAGGACCAACACACGCCAGTCCTTTGCAGCTTTCTTTCATGCCACGACAACATGTCATGCACTGACCACCTCTCCGCTTCTTCCAACCAGTTCCAGAGTCGGCAAATAATGCACGACGTGGAATTCTCTGGGACGACATTCGGAGAACATGTCCAAGCCACCGAAGTAGGTGTTTCAAGATGGTGACATCAATCGCATTATCATCCCTGTGCCCGAACACACGATGCCGAACCTCTGCATTACTGACATGGTGCTGCCGCTGGATGTTAGCAATCCTTCGGAGACAACGATGATCGAACACAGAGAGTCGTCTAACGACCTCAACTCGGAGAGGCCAGGTTCCACAAGAATAGAGCAGAACTGCTCTCACCGACGCGTTGTAGATCCGAACTTTTGCAGCCAGACTAACATCACGAAGGCGCCATAGATGGCCCAGATTGGCATGAGCCGCTCTGACTTTCACTATTCGTGCATTGATCTCATCACTCACACCCCCACCAGCACTTATACAGCTACCCAGATACACGAACTTCTCGACTACGTCTATCTGCTCACCATCCAGGGTGAGTACAGGATTGGAATCCTGCCAGTCTTGTAGAAGTATTTTGCACTTCGAAGTTGCAAAGCACATACCATACCTACGGACACTGATGGCCAACTGACTAAGTGCGGATTGCATGGCTTGGGGATTATCGCACAGTAAGACAATATCATCCGCATACTCAAGGTCGAGAAGTCTTTCTCCAGACAACAAATCCACACCACCATTACTTACATCCATCAGAGCTGTTTCCAGAATGTCATCGATGGATTATTATTATTATTATTATTTACTACGTCATTCAAAAGACTTGCTATATCATTAGTTTTTTCAGTCAGTTATATGCAACAAAGAACCTGTTACACACGCGCAACCATTTAGGCTGCCATACCACATTAACACAGAGTAGTAGGAATAATAACAGCATCACTAACAGAAGCAGTAGGAATAGTAGAAAATATTAAATATCGAGAAAGATAAAAAAGTATAAGGTTTCGGGACTCAGGTTTTAAGGGGAGAAAGAGTGAATGTACCTGAACCATAACATTTAAAGTCCCTAACCACTGGTTACGATAATCACGTCAGTCACAACTAGAGAGTCTACACCTACTTACATGGTTCAGTCCACTTGTAAATGATTATATAGACTGAGAGATGAGTATCTCTCCTACGCCACAGGTGACACGAGTTGATGAAAGACAACCGACATTACTAACCTTGTTCCAAGTTTGCGTCATACGCCAACCGACCAAGGTTTATGAAACCGCCAAGATGAGCGAGTCGATCGACGTGCTCAACTACCTTAGTTCATATCACTAATTCAGGATTTCAGTAGTTCTTATAAGGTTGATGTATTTGACTGGTAACCCTTTTAATGACAGACAATCATAGAATCCAACGATCAACTGAGTCAAATAATGCTTTAAGGTCAAGGAATACAACTAGAGCTAGGAAGTATGTCTATATTCCGAAACCTGATGAAGGGCAAATATTTGGTCTACAGATCCACGTCCAGGTCTGAAACCAACAACTTCGTGTTTAATAATATTAAGTCCGAAGGATTGCTTATGCACGTCGAAACCCAGCAGTATTTATTTGGACATAGCCAATATGATAATACAATAGATACTTACAATTTAAAACTCCGGCTTCAGTGCCTATTTCACACTTAAAACACGTCGGCCTAGCGGTTTATATTACTGTGTATCGTTTTCCAAAGCTGGGACTGTCTGGAAAAGGAGGACGAAGTCATTTAACTTGGCTCCGTAGAATGAAGAATAGTGGATGTATATCAGCTTCTTTGATTCGTCATTATTTCCTGAGTCGGTTCAAAAAGAGAAAACAACTCAGCAACTTGACATGTCAGGAAAGGTTCAAAATAGCAACAACTGACGATCCTGCTATAATTGTCTACTGTACTCTCCTTCATTAATCAAACAGGAATAATATTGATCTATTATTACTCGATCCTGTTTCTCGAATTCTTGTTTTTTCCAATTCATTGATTGGTTAGTTTTCAATTTACCTTGTGTGGCTCGTAGTAAACAGACTACTCATGTATATGCCCCGACGAAAAGTTTTTTCGAATTTTACGCAAACTTTACACAAATTCCTCATGCAGGAATCTATGTTTATCACCAAACTCCCGATTTGCCGTAGTAAACCGACGTGCTTCAAGGAATTATAAAGAGCTTGCGAAAACCTGAAAGTTATAACCAAGACGTTTCGGAAAGCTGTAAGAGACTTTACTTTACATCTTCATGGTATGATGAAAATTCAGTCAAAACTCAACTACGCATTACCGTGAACCGCTAGCTACCTTTGAACTTAATTCGGTTTGATCATGGGTTGGGACAAAAGCTCCTCCAAATTCTCTTACATTAATCGATTTAAAACGATGACTTTATCGGCGAATGAAAAGATACGAACACCAAGTCATGACCAAAATACAGATAAGTACTAAAAAAAGGAGCTGTACTCTCGTACATAACCGCGCAGGCAGTGACTGATCTCGATGTAATCAATCACAGAGGGAGAGCACCAGAGAGAACATAGGATAGGAATGTACCGTAAGTTGGTGTCCAACAGAAATAACGCATTGTTAGAGCAAAGATGCAAGAGAAGGTAATCGCTATCTTACCGTTGACCGACGAGTTCTCATTATTCACCAGGACAAACATCATCCATGCATAAATCCCGACCAGGGTATACAAATCTAAGACTGACAGTGAAATAGCCACCAAGCGCTTTTTCATGACAAAACCATTTAGCTGGTGGTAAAAATCATCTTTGACTGCATCCAACTGCAATGTTGGAGGTTACTTCTAACAAATTAAGTGGGGTAACTCCAAAACAATTATCAGATTGTGTATAAACTTGTTATTTCAACCAAACGTATTCGGCTTAAATGTAGCTTAAGTTGTTCTGTTCAACGTTACCTGTATGGTTTAAGGACAGATTCAAGTGTCCACAAAAGTATTGTAGTAAGCGACAACGAACACCAAAGGTAAGTCAAGGAATTTCTTGCTTCGCTTTGCACCAACATTGTGTCTCTTCACTACTAAAGTCCGATCCACACTGAACACATGCCTCGTCATTTTGCGACGCACAACTTTTGAACTTGGGTTGCATACATCACATTGTTCTCAGCATTTTTAAACAGAAACAACATAAATAAATGTGGTCTTATCATTCAATTTTAGGTCAAACAACATGCATTTCATCAAAAATCGTTCGCTTAATAGGCGTGGATTATGAAAAGACATCGTCTATCACATCGGTGATTTATAAGCACCCTGATGGAGCTTTTTAATATAACAGTTCATAATCCACTGTTAGTTGGGATCCGATCAATTAGTGCTGCCTGACTTATGCAACTAACTACGATACCTACGACATCTAAAGCCGAACAAAAGCACCTGAAAAAACTTCTTCCAATAGACATGGAGAACGAATATGTACCACTTCACTACAGCTTCTAACACCAGTAGTCTCTCATAACCAACAGACCTCGACGTCAAAAATTTCCAAAGATACAACACAACCAATTCTATCTGCATTAGTGTGCAACTCTTGGAGAGGGAAAGTTTCAATGGCACATGATGTTTTTGAAATGGGGATTCAGAATTTGTATTCGGTCACACCATTCAGACTTTCAACTAGTCAATGACTTCAGTTCGTTTGGACAGGACAAATTTCTACCATAGACGAACAGCTGTGCAAAACAATAGCAAGCATAGGCTGCAAACAAAATTCAATACAAACGTGTATTAGGTTAAAACAAAACACCTGAATCGAATAGGTAATAATAATCTTTTCAGTTGGCAGAGAACTAGGGCATGTTAGTCAACTTCTTAATAATTATTCATTGTCATATTTTTTAGCGCACTAGGACACTACTCAGGTGTCTAGATGCCTTTCTAAGCGACTACTCATCTAGTCTTGACCTTAAGGTCTAATCCAGGAGACAGTGAGACATCAGAAAATGTCACCCTATGGCAGCCAGTGACCAACGATAGTTTTATACGCCTTTTGATTCTTTAGGATCCTGAAACCCAGGCGCACCAGTGGTTTGAAATCAGGATTTCCCAACTCCCCTAGTTGGATCATCCGTACCCACTAACCCACTTTACACCTCGGACATTCGGTTTTCATTCTGATTACTGCAAACAATACACCATCATAAGACAGTCAGTAGGACTCCCTTAACAGTGGCTATAAACACGTAACCATATGGGAACATTTTGCGAGGGTCAGCGAACTCTCCTCACCTTACTACAGCATTTTGGGGCTAAAAGTTGCGATGGACGTATGATTAATAAACGACTAATCATTTGACATGATTTTGATGGGGTTTGGTTGAATTAGATATAGACGATCAGTAGAGAACTAAACTATGATGTTGTACTATCAATGTTGGATGGTTGAACTGGGGAGCCGTGGAATTTCTAGAATCATGAAGTGCACGTCAACCTGAATCTATACAGATTCAATGTATTGTTGTATATGGGAAACGTAAATTAATTACATGATAGGAGGTCACTGAACCAAACAGTCAATAAGATTGCAAATACACGAGATGGTAACACAAGAGAGTGAAAACAACAATTTGTAAGTCGAGTCAACGGAACAGACTAGTTTAGCGCTTCTCGAATGATTAGAAAGCTGAATTCTACTTGATCTAGATATTGATGATACCCAGAACGATAATAAGGGCTTCACCATTACATCAGGAAACTCAGAAAACGTAGCATTAATTAAAGCATCCACCTGAACTACGAAGTGTCTTCAGGAATCCAACTATCCATTCAAACGTATAGCTTCGATTGTTCATTTGACTTTATACCTTTAGTGAGTAGGACTTTGCTGACATTTTTTATAAACGCGTGGCTGTATGAAATCATTTCGAGAAGGTCAGTGAACTCCTCTTATCCTTAGGCATACTAGGGAGCTGAGGGTCGTCTTAGACTGATGATTACTTCGTTATAAATAACTAGAATTTTAAAGTGTTCAAAATGTCTAACGGCTATCCATAGATTCTCAATCAATAGTAAACTCAGTCAAAATTGAAACTGTAACTTTATAGTGGAGGTTTGAGCTCGTTCATAACTCAACTCCAGATAGGCAAAATATTTTATTAAAAGCATAGAAATGTAGTGAACAACTATTTATGGTACTTTCTTTCCTATAACTTTAGTGGGTAGTATTAACACCCTAATACACAATTATGATTTTAAATATTTTAAGGAAGAAATAAGCTTATATTTATTATGAAAAGCGAACACAAATTACAAAAGGAAAACATTATCAACATAAACTATGATTTAAAATTAATTTCATAAATTTTTAGTGATGAGTAACTTTGATAAATAACAGGAAATGACGTAATTATAAAAATGCCCTAAAGATATTCAAAACTGAAGTTTAATATTATTTACTAAGAGATTTGAATCAAAATATAAATCTCACCGCCATTCTATTACAACTTACCGTTAAAAAAAAGAATAAACAGGTTGAATGATCATCTACAACTTATGAGAATTAATCAATAATGGCCCGACGCTTGTAACATGATGAGATGTACACTGAGTCTCAAATAGTGAGTTCATTTTATTCTTATGAATATTGTTTAATGTACAGAATAATTTTAAATTTCAACCATAACTAAACGATTTTCACATTAATATGCTCGCCTTGTTTGTCAAAATTAACATGTTTTTTTTTTAATAATAACAATGTGTATGTATTACGAAACTGACGACGACGACGACGACAACAACAACAACAGTATTAACGATAAGGTTAAAAAGTCATTAACCTATAAATTAACATGAGCAATTTAAGAAAAAAACTGATTTCGACACGATATATAATGAATTAATGAGAACTGACCTCATAAACTTAACTGAAAACTATTTTTCTTACAATCAAAGAATATTATAATTAAAGGTAAATTTGATCGTGTGCATACGTGTATCTGGGTGTATATATGATATAATTGTTCATAAATCATCAATATCAAGATAAGCACACACATATGCACAAATAACACGAAATAATTATCCAATCATCAACTAACACTCAGACAAGTAACAAAATAGACAGGAGAGAAAAAACTATCATACCGATAATTAGACAATAAAAGCACACTGTGCTAACCATGTGATCAGATTATAACAAAAACTAAGACTTATGATTTGCTGTGTGAGCTAATAAATATGCCACTCAATAGCATAAACAGTAGTTGCGTATCAGTCGCAACAATAGGTAAATAATATGCTTTGATAAAACACTGGATACTAATTCTAAACGCTAAACTTTAACGACAGTTGAATGATTTAACTCGTAACCAAAATGACAATATCGAGGCGATCCGTACAGGATACACACATCCCAGTAAATACTGATCAAAATTCAGTCTACGATATCAACAACATGATAATTCAAACTCTTTCTTATAATGACATAAACATCAAATACCTAACTATCGGGACCAACCAACTCAGTGGATGCCAGTGCATTAGGCGTTTGAAGCAAAAGGTAGGATTTGAGTCCTGGTGAGAGCATCACCACTGGGATACAGGTATAACCTCAGCATCATTGATAAACAGGAAAGATCTGATGCAAATGTAAAGGCGAGGATCGGCAAAACAAGGGCAGCATTCCTGCAGTTGGAGAACATATGGAACTCTAAACTGTCAGCAAACACCACAGTCAGAATCTTCAGTACAAGCGTCAAGACAGTTCTATTGTACGAGGCTGAAACTTGGAGAACTAGTACACTTACTTACTTATGCCCGTTACCCCTCGCAGAGGAGTATAGACCGCCCACCAGCATTCTCCATCAAACTCTGCCCTGACCAACCCTTTCCAGCCATTTCCAGTAGCTATTCATCCTTTTTATGTTTGCTTCCAATTCTCGATGCAATGTGTTACTCTTTCCCGGTTCCCTTCAGGATTCCAAGTTAGTACTTACTTCGTGATGCCGTTTAGTGATTTCAGCAATGTATGTGCTTTCCACTTCCAGCGTCTTTTCTTAATTTCCTCCTTACATGGAAGCTGGTTTGTTCTCTCCCACAGTAGGCTGTTGCTGATGGTATTCAATCGACGGACGTTGAATATCTTACGTAGACAATTGTTTATAAATACTTGTGCCTTTTAGATAATGGTTATGGTAGTTTTCCAAGTTTCAGCTCCGTACAGTAGAACCGTCTTGATGTTCGTGTTGAAGATTGTGACTTTGATATTGACTGACAGTTGTTTTGAGGTCCACATGTTCTTCAATTGTAGGAACGCTGACCATACTTTGTCAATCCTTGCCTTTACATATGCATCCGATCCTCCTTATTCATCGATGATGCTGCCTAAGAAGTATTACAAGCATCATCAAAGAGGTACACCTATTTATGCACAATTTTCTACTGAAGTTACTCCAGATCCGTCGGCCAGATACCATAAGCGACAACCTACTGTGGCACCGAACAAACCAGTTTCCAGCTGATGAGGAAGTCAGGCAAAGACACTGAAAGTGGTTAGGAAGCGCATAAGGGAAATAATCAAACTGCATCTCGAAGCAGGAGCTGACTTGGTATCCTCAAGGCAAAACAAAAGAGGCAGACATCAAACGAATGGATGGCGATTGAAAACAACTGGAAAGAGTTGCACAGGACAGAGTTGGTTGGAAAATCCTGGTCGGCGGCTTATGCTCCTCCACGAAGAATTTCGGTGCCACAAAAAGAATAGTAGACTATGAAAACAGATTGTAGACGAATGAATAAAACAACACGATCTCATCAGTGAAGAATAAAAATCTAAATTGCTCACAAATAGATCATACATTCATTTAACTACTACCATACAGTTTGTTTGTTTGAGACCATCATTAATACAGACCACAAATGGGAGTACGAGGACCATATATCTACTGAAAAGTAATTTTTAAAGGAAAAATAGTCAAGAAAACACGTGAAACACTTTAAGAAAACGATTTCTGCGTATTATTGACTTGCAATTTTTTTAAATCGATAGTTTAAACAAAACTCAACAATATTAATTCATCAATCAATTAATGACTGAATTTAACAATCGAAAAGTTTATTCACTACATTAAACCGCCCTAGATTATGTTGTTTAGTCGAATTTAAATATAAACTATGACAGAAAATATGTTTATATAGTTTGCCAATTGAATTAAATGTTTAACTGATTTTTCAAATCGTACATAATTTCTGAAATAATAATAAACTTTCCCAAGTTTAATTTTATTTAAAATCATAGAGGAATATGACCTAAATAAACAAAAAGGTGATGATTAGTAAATATGTTAAATATCAAAGAATAAAATAGTACGTAAAAAGATTCAGTCATAAAACATAATCACTGTATATAGTAAATATAAATATTATAAACTGTTTACGGTTACAGTTTCATTTATATTTGGTGAATAATTATACTCTAATATCGTTTTTTAATCATTGTACAAATTCATATAACAGACAGAAATTTTTCCTATTCTAAGCTGTTTCTTGCATTTGTCAGGCTTAGTTAACTGGACATTCCAAATGAAATGCATAGAATATATAAAAAGATAGGTGGGAATAAAATAAGTAACAGATTTTAAACAATTTGTTAGAGGATTGTCTTTTATTAGTTATCAGACAATACGTAAATTTACCTGTATCCCGTCTACGAGGAGATACAACTTGACTGTTTTTACTTACTTACTTGCGACTGTTACTCCTAATGGAGCATAGGACGCCGACCAGCATTCTCCAACTCACTCTGTCCTAAGCCTTCCTTTCTAATTCCATCCAATTCTTGTTCATTTCTCTCATGTCTATTTCCATTTACCGGCGTAATGTGTTCTTTGATCTTCCTGTTTTCCTTTGGCCTTCAGGATTCCATGTGAGGGCTTGTCTTGTGACGCAGTTGGGTGCTTTCCTCAGTGTGTGTCCTATCCACTTCCAGCGCTTCTTCCTAATTTCTTATTCTGCTGGGATCTGGTTTGTTCTCTCCCACAGTTGGTTGTTGCTAACAGTGTCCGGCCAACCGATCCGAAGGATTTTGTGTAGACAACTGTTAATAAACACCTGTATCTTCTGGATGATGGCGTTCGGAATTCTCCAGGTTTCCGCCCCATACAGTGGAACTGTCTTGAGATTTGTATTGAAAATCCTGACTTTGGTGTTGGTTGACAGTTGCTTTGAGTTCCAGATGTTCTTCAGTTGTAAATATGCTGCTCTTGCTTTACCGATCCGCGCTTTCACATCTGCATTAGACCCACCATGTTCATCAATGATGTTGTTGACTGTTATTAGATTAGGTAAAACCCATCGGACCCAATCTGGACAGAAAAGATTAGTTTTAGGGAAAATGCTGTTGTACTCTCCAGTCAGTCAGCTACAATGTAGGACCAGGCACATATATGCGTCGGTCCAAGTTGCCATACCTCATTAACACAACAAGATGAACACCGGACTCATGAAAGTAGTTAATTCAGAGGTGGTTATAAATAAAAGAAAGATTGCATATAAGGATATAGTACAGGAAGAAAGAATTAGTTCGTAGAAAGAAAGATATGAAGCAATTTTATTCTCTTAGTTTAAGGGAAGACAGAGAGTGTATACACCTACGCCATTGTGATCGATTCTGGATCATGTCACCCAGAGTCTCCAACCATTGGTTACGATAGTCACGCGGACCCCAACCAAGTAGTCTGCATCTACCAACATGGCTCAGACTAGAAGTTAGTGACTTCAAGCACTGATGCCACGTTTTGGTTTGACCGCCACTAACTTTCTTTCAACCATCCCATACACTAGTCAGCATTGCACGTCGTGGTAATCGGTGTTCAGGTATACGTAACACGTGGCCCAACCATCTCAGTCGATGAAGATTCACAACCTCATCGACTGATTTGCCATCCTTCCCTAATACCCTGCGTCTAACCTCACTATTACTTACCCGGTGATCCCAGCAGATGCCAGCAATATTTCCGAGGCATCTGTGGTCAAATACTAGTAGCTTACGAGTATCTCCTACTCTTAAAATCATCCTGTGACAACCATAGAGGGATTAGTTTAACTAATATAGTATCTAAAATACTACCCTCGATAATTATCAGACGGCTAACTAAGACTCGTGAACTGCAAACACGAGAGAATCAAGCTGGCTTCAGACCTGGTCGTGGCTGCATCGACCACATATTCACTATTCGTCAGGTTCTAGAACACAGGCATACTTATCGGCGTCCGGCAATCGTGGTCTTTCTTAACTTAAAAGCAGCATTTGATTTCGTAGACCGCGAGATTCTGTGGCAGTGTCTGTCATTGAAAGGCGTACCTCAGAAGTACATAAACCTTGTGAAGGCTCTTTACTCGAACACTACTAGTCGAGTCAGAGCTTATGGTGAACTGTCACCTGATTTCTCAACCTCAAGTGGTGTCCGTCAAGGCTGTCCACTTTCTCCATTTTTTTTAACTTCATCATAGACCTACTGATGGAAATAACATTCTCGTCTACTGAATTCTCGGGTATTGATCTCCTTCCAGGAGGTCCACCTATCGACTTAGAATACGCGGATGACACAGTCCTGTTTGGTGAAGACGCTGATAAAATGCAGGGTCTTTTGGTAGCACTAAGCAACAATGCCAGAATGTTTGGAACGCGCTTCCCTCCATCTAAATCCAAGTTGTTGCTTCAGGATTGGCTGCGTCAACACCTGAACTAAGGATAGGGAGTGAAGTAGTCGAACGCGTTGACAACTTCACTTATCTTGGAAGTCTGATCAGCCCTAATGGGTTGATGTCTGACGAAATCTCAGCACGGATTCAAAAAGCTCGTTTGGCTTTTGCCAACTTACGTCACCTATGGCGAAGGCGAGATATCCATCTTTCAATTAAAGGACGAGTATACTGCGCGGCAGTTCGTTCTGTTTTAATTTACGGCAGCGAAACATAGCCATCAAGAGTAGGAGATACTCGTAAGCTACTAGTATTTGACCACAGATGCCTCGGAAATATTGCTGGCATCTGCTGGGATCACCGGGTAAGTAATAGTGAGGTTAGACGCAGGGTATTAGGGAAGGATGGCAAATTAGTCGATGAGGTTGTGAATCTTCATCGACTGAGATGGTTGGGCCACGTGTTACGTATACC